ATAATAATAATAATAATAATAATAATAATAATAATAATAATAATAAATGGTTGCAACACTTAACCTCTCTTAGATACATTGTTCTTTTGATGTGCTGCACCTCAGCCAGGTTAATTGTGGGGAATTTCACACTGAATGACAGGAAATTTAAATTTAAATTAAAATGTGTCACAGCAAATATCTATGCAAGCTTCTCAAATATCAGAATTCAGTAGTCGAGCGTTTCTAAGGGAACACGAGGCCAGAAAAGATTTGTGCAACCACAACATACAAAAATTTTGTTTACAGTACCATGTTTCCTGCCCACCCTGCCTTTCCTAACAATGACACTTGCTGTACGCACATGTGCAAAACTGCAGCTCTGGTTTTGCCAGAAGGGAAACTCCTGGGACCTCTGCTGGCTGGTAGGGAGTTAGCCACGACAGAGAGGATGACGGGGAAAAATGGGATGGTTTATGCAAAACTCATGCCAACAGCCGTCCAAACCACAGGACAGAGAGTGGAGAAACTGACGAGATCAAGAGAATCCACAGTTTTTGACAGTAAATCACATTTCAGGAGGCTGCTTACCTGGAGAATGGCTGCATGGACGTTTTCGGGGCACATTCCGTGAAACAGACAACTGTTCTGATCCTGCTGAGGTGCTGAGACTCTTGTGGCCTTGATCTGTTCTTCCTTTCTTCAAAGGGCAGCAGGAAAGGAATCTATCCCGCTTCGTGCAGGCATCAGCATCGCTTCTCGGCCTTTTGGCTAAGATCAAGTGTAGTATCTGTTCTTATCAGTTTAATATCTGATACGTCCTCTATTTGAGGACTACATATTAAATGGATTTTTGAAATTGGGAGATGGAATAGGGGCTTGCTCCGTCCACTCCACGCATCGACCTGGTATTGCAGTGCCTCCAGGAACGGTGCACCTCCCTCCTGGGGAGAATATTACTGGTTTAAAGATAGATGAATCAAAAGTACCTGATCTATCCCTGAATGAGTGGTCCTGCTTGGGATAACAGCCAGCTACCTCAGCTCTTATCTGGTTTTGCATTCCTTGCCCATCTATTCTCTAGATCAATAGCTAACCAAGCTGTTTTCTGGATCTTCTTTTAGATTCTGTTCCTTTTCCAAGCTGCACTCTCAGATTCTGATCTTGCAAGACATAGAAGAGATCCCGACTTAAAATCCACTGTAGCTAGTTCCTTCTTCCGATTCTGTACTGCAAGAGACCTACCAAATGGGTTCTTTTGAATCGAGCTAAGTGGAGGGTCCCTCAGGTCAGTGAGATGGAGCAGGAGGGGCAGCAAGCTGGTAAGACCTGGAGAGAAGGCAGAAGGGAGAGTCTTGAACCCGCAGCAGTCCAATCCCAATGTGTACACCCCACGGTCCAGATTAACTGCATGGAAACAGCACGCGTGTTTAAGTCTGGACTGATGCAAGACATTTGGATCAGCAAGGCAAGGCACAGAAGATAGGAACAGAAGGCAGAGCGCAGCTCGGCCAGGGGGAAAATGGCCTCATAGTGCATTACTCATAGTGCATTACCCAACTAGAAGCCCCAGGGGACACCCCCCCCCCCCAAAAAAAACCAGGGCTGGAGCAGAAGAGCCGCCTCCGGCTTGTTCCCCTCCAACTAGCAGAAGAAGTCTCCGTACTGGATTGCCTGCAGCGATGGTCTCCCCCCAAACAGCCCCGGGGCACGTGCACAGGAGAGCACCCCCGGCAGAGATCTCGGGTTAGGGGCTGATGCTGGGGCCCCCTTCCCCGCCAGACATAGATCACTCATATGCTCCCCCCACAGACACTTGGATTCCCACGCTGCGGAAGGAAAAGGGAGCTCACACGGGGCTCGCCATCAGCTGAGCGCCCGATCCAAGCGAGGACCACGGGCGAAAAGCTTCTTCCGGGAAACTGCCTCCCTCCGGGCCTTACAGACCGGAAGGAACACGGAGAGCCGCTTCGGCGCCAAAATTGCAACCACCCTCGCCCGGATTGGCTGAGCCGACTTCAGACGCCTTAAGAGGAGCAGCGAGGGGGCGGGGAAGCGCTTGGCGTGCGCACGCGCAATGGCACGCTCTGCCCGTGCCTATCGTGTCATGGCGGCTGAAAAAAGGCTCCCGTGCCTTCGGGGCTTCGCTGACATGCTGGTCTAGGCGAGGAGTGGAAAGTCCCTTTCCGTTGCCTCCGGCTGAGGGCTGGGGGCTGGGGTGGGGGGGCAGAAGGTTGGCCAGACTTCCCCGCCTGGGATCCCTCCAAGGCTGCTGGGTTACAACTCCCCTCACCCCCAGCCCTGGCCAGTGATGGGAGTGGTAATCCAGCACCGGTGGACGGAAAGCTATGAAGAAATCTGAGTTTCACGCATCCCCATCAGCCGCTTCCCTCGGTTTGCATCCTTGGCCGGTCTGCAAGGAATGAGAAGCGGCAAGCCCCTGCCGTGCCCGAAACATTCAAAATGCGGCCCACCGAGACCAAAAATCGCATGGAGAAAGTCACTCACAGCACGTGTGAGCAAGGCTGGCCTTCGCCTGGGTTTGAGCTGTTCCCAGCTCCACCAGGATCCCGAATTCAAGATCACGCTGCCCCCAAATAGGCTGCATGACAGCAGGGATCATTTCTGGAGCTCTCTCTGTCCCGGTCAGGGATGGAAAACCCACAATGTGCAAGCCACCCCACCTAGAAAGGGAAAGCCATGACTCTGTGCATGGATGGTGTGGGGCGGTGTGCGCGTGCAGAGTCAAGACGGCCGCGCACCCCAGCAGATGCTGCCGTGCGCACATAAGCAAAGGCACACGGAAACACACGGTCACCCCGACGTCAGAAAAGCAGACTGGACTCCGGTTGCTTGGGAGGCAAGTGCGGTTTATTTAGAGAACACAGGCACCTGTGGATGCCCCACAGGGAACACCCTGGCGTGTGATTACAGCATCTTTTATAGCAACAGAATTTGCCACAACATTCCCTTTGCGCATGCGCAACTGACACACGGGCCCCTTCCTGAGACAGACACCTGATGCCTTTGGCCACGGAGGGCTCTCATGATGCGCTCATGACTCCTTGCAAAGGGCAGGGAACAGCTGGGAGTGCGGTTTTTCCTTTTAGGTCCCACAAGGGCTGGTCTGTTCCCTCCTCGGGTACGTCAGGGTGTCTTCCCCCGTACCCCACTGGCCAGCCCCGGGGAAACACAACCCTTGCTTGCCTTTGGGAGACGTGGCCCCATTCTGATGTCCACTCATTCCCAGGTTCTGGGTCTGGACGTACCGCCTCCCGCCTGCATCGCATTCGGTCAGAGTGCTTGGGTTCTAGCGAGCCGTATTCATGTGGGTATTGTACCTGAAGGCTGGGAAGGTTCGCCTACCCACTCGTACTTGGGGTGTAGCACCAGTTACACAGGGGTGGGGGGTCGGGACAGTGCCAGAGTCGAAAGGGTGATAAAAGGGAGAAGGGATAACACACCTCGGACAAGAGAAGCCCTCACAGTGGCTGTCGAGGCACACGGGGCATGTGATCCGGGGGTCTCGGGTCCCCCGGAAGAGCCTCTTTCCGCCCTTCGCCAGGATACTCCCTCCCTCCCCCAAGCGGCTGCCCCTCCGGATGGGGATTTGCAAGCCCCACCCACTGGGGGGGTTGTCACCCAGCCATCACAAGAACATTCCTCTGAGGACTTCCCCAGTTCTCACTTTCTGCCCTGGGCCTCAACAGCGCAGCCCGACGCCATGCTCAATCCCACCAGGCTGTTTTGAGGGTCCCTCCACCCCATTATCACTTAAGGCTTTAATTTTATTTATTCCATTTAGTTAGTGCACCTGCACTCCCCCGCCCCCATGGGCCAAAGGTTCACCGGGCGAGTTTACGCCCCAATTATCTTTTATTTTATTTTAACTTCTGCAAAGCTGAGGCTTTCCCCAGATGGTGCAAACCTCTTTTCTTGTGGGTGAGCAGTGCCTGTTTGGTTACATGAGGGTGGGCACGCAGAGAATGCGTTGGGAGAAGTTCCACCAAAAACGCAGCACCCAAAAGAACAGACTGTGAAATGTGCGACATGTGGCATTTCTTGGGTGCTGATAATTCCTGACTCGCCATTGAGGAATTATCTTTGGGTCCCCTTAGGCTGTGTCATGACACCCCCTCCCATTTTCACTTCTGCTTTCAAAGAGTTCTGTCAATGAGGGTTTAAAAAAAAACTTCAGGACACGGGAAATGGCATATTATTCTTAAAGCAACTAAAAGAAGAGGACGCTTTTCTCACTCACATATTTGTGCTATCTGGCTACACAAAACGGCAGGGAAGGGAACGCTCTTGCAGTGCTTGGATCTCAGTTCTGCAATGCAACCAGAAGGAGATACAGTGGATTAGCAGCTTTGTCTAGAAAAACCCTAGGAGGGGCCACCGAAAGGAGGCACCCGCAAAACAGGACCCAACGCTGGAGCCTTCAGTGTCCACCGGTGCCTTGGGGGGTCTTCTTCCCCCGTGCGCCAGGGAGGGAGCCATTTCCAAGGGGCATTACGGCCGAGGAGGAGAGAATAGCTCTGCCATTTCCACATGCTGCATCCCATGGTCTCCTATACATTTCCTCCTGCATGCCGGTTCGGCTTAGAAGAAAACTCTTTTTTTAGTTTGCTTGAGAAGCTCTGATCTGGAGGTATGTTGATTAATTCATTTAGTTTCCTTTGTCTCCTGGAAAATTTAAATAAACCCTTGCCATTACTTTTAAATTTGCATCTATAGCTAGAGGTAGATTTTGTGCAAATTGGGATCCTAGCCCTGAGCCTTTTAAGTGCCTAGCAACACTGAAGTCCAAATGCTTTGGCGCTCAGTCCCCATCAGCCCCAGCCAGCATGGCCAATGATCAGGAATGCTGGGAGTTGTATTCCAAGCTGTCCAGATGCCACCAGGTTGAAGAAAACTGTACTGAGAACAAACATGGACCAGCAGGAATTGGGAAGGGGGCAGCCCAATGGAACACCCCCACGTTTGAACATCACCCCAGCCCCCAGCTCACAGCTGCATTCCCGGCCCTTTTCAACCCAAAGAGATCACTGCAAATATTTAATACTGTCCAAAAGATTACAAAAAGGAAACCGAAGAGTGAGAGAGGCACATGTGAACGGGCTGATCTGTGCCCAGCTGGAGTGTTCCGCACAAGCACACCACCGAGAGACCCTCTTTCCCCTTCGGATCCTGGAGTGTTTCCGATGAGTAATATAGCACAGAGTCCCAGGGTAGTGTGTGAAGACGTTCCTGCGAGACAGGCTGGGTTAGGGAAGAGAAGGTCGAAATTCTGCAGTGCCCCGGAAAATTCCAGGGCTTCGGGGATCGCCCAGCGTGTTTGGCTCCACCGTGGCTTGGTCTCCGTGGCAAATCTCCCCCACGTCTTAACCCCACCCCCAACCAGTGTCTTCAGATCCCTCCCCGATCCCTCCTCGAATACCCTTGTCCCTTTCCTGCGATCCCTGCTTTCAATCCGTTAGGATTCCTCAGCGGAAAGAGCACAGGATCAGGAAGGAAAGCGGGAGTGGTCTTGGCCTCCAGCCGCCAGCAGTCCCTGGGGTCCAGCCCGACAGGACTTGCAGGTCTCCATCGAAAAAAAGAAGCCATGTTGGAGTGACGGGGACCATGGGTGTCGAGGCCTCTGGAGCGGTGGAGGGCAGCAAGCCCCTTGTCCCGAGCCGGCTGCAAACTACACCAAAGAACATTTACTGCTGGTTTTCTGCAGTTCTTTTGGGTCCAAAGATCCCTTGATCTGCTGAGCCTGAGAGGGAGGAAACATACAGGGAGTAGGAAATACGAGGGGCTTCCTAGAGGGAAGGCATATCATCATCATCATCAGATGGAAAGTATTTTGGGATGGCTTGGGCTGGAATAGACAATTATGATTCTGCAGCTACACCAAAGCCTTGCTTCTGGAGGAGATGAAAGGGGTTAGAGGGTTGTTGATAGCTACTAACACATGGCCCTGAATGTATGACTTCCCCTTGGTAGTTTGGCTATGGGGACCATGCTGCGAAGGGGACCATGTGTCAGTTGCTGGGGAACATGGGTGGGAGGGTGGATGCGGCAGACCTCCTTCTGCTGTCCTTGCAGTATCCACGTGTCCCTTCACAAGAGCTTCATCTTACAGTCCGCTTGCCTTTCAGAGCCAGTTCCGCTACTCCTGAGCAGAGCGGAGAGGGCCGGGCCTCAGGTCCTCCCTTTGGCTCTGTCCTCCTTCCTCAGGAAGGCTGGCTTCCCCTCCAGCCACCATCAGACCTCCGCCCACCCTGCCATAAGCCCCCTGAACACACACGCTGCTCTTACCGGCTTCCTGCCTGATTTCAGAAGGATGTCCCGGGCCAAGGTTCTGAAAGCCTGTAGCGGAGAAATGAGCCGGGAGGTTAGGCTGAGGGGCCCCAAGCCTCCACCACATGCACGTCATTGCCTCAGTGCTTTACAATCTTGCTTGAATTCACAACAGTCCTGTGAGGTAGACTATTATTCACATTTATTGTTAATTTTAATTTATTTTAATTTATTGTTATGTTTAATTTATTTTAATTTATTGTTATTTTTAATTTATTTTAATTTGTTTATTTAACAGAGGGAGGACTGTGGTACAGAGAAAAATAATCCTTCAAGATAAAGCAGGGGTTCACCAACCCGTAGTTCTTGGCCTCCTTTCCAACACCCCTCTACAAGTTCAGTTCAGACCTTGGGCAAAGTGGCCTGCATCCCGCCAAGTCAATTCAATATTTATTTGCATTAGCCATAGGCCTTGACGTATTAAATAAAATGTTAATAGACATAAATGTTAACATTAAAAGTTAATAATAAAAATAATGAGCGGAGTCATAATAAAAAAAAAGAGCGGAGCTGGCCGGTGCCAGAGGTCAGACTAGATGGCCCGGGAGACCCCTTCTGCCTCGCTCTGTTTCCGTGTTTCTATAATAAAACATAAAACGAAAGGAGATACTCCACCAAGAACTGAGAGGCCCGCTGGGTCAGGCCAAAGGGCTACGTCTCCCGGCACCCTGGTTCCAGCAAGGGCAACCCAGATGTCTCCTGCCATCAGTTCCATGTGCTCCGTTCCCTTGCCGGGCCAGGGGAGAGCGCCAAACCCCAGCCGAGTGTCCAGCAGGGCTGCCCCGGCGATGCTGGGAGCTGTGGACACCTCTGCAGGCCGCCCAGCTGAGGAAGGCTGCCCAGAGCACAACGCCGCCACTCACCTCCTCTACATTCAAGCTGGATTTGGCGCTGGTCTCGAAGAACCTGATCCCGTGCTCCTTGGACAGCTGTTGGGAGAACGCAGCACGGATTAGCACATTCCATATTGCGCTGTTTTCGGATTACTGTTTTATGCAGTGTGCTACAGTATTGTTGGGACCTGGCCAGGGAGCCGAATGGCTACTGCGGCAGGCTAGAAACCAAATAATAAATAAAGGTTAATATTGCTATGCTGACTGGAGTATATATTGGTTTGTTGTTCCCCTGCTCCATTCTATCGTGCATTTCCGTATTGGTATGGATAAGTGGCTGGTTTCTGCAGTGGGAACCAATGCAGACATTTAAAAGAAGTAGTCCCAAAGCAGGTCCTTCTACCTCACTAAGTCTCCTTCGCCAAAATCTAACGGCATCGTAAGTGATCCCACACGCCTCTCAAATGGGAAATGAACAACGCTTCCCATGCCGGCTGATGTAGAGCCAGCGGGACGCTTCACTCTCCACCCACCACACAGCCAGGACACCACCGTATCTGCCTGCACAACCTGTCTTTCTCTGCCCTCCCACCTGAGTTTGGCGTTTGTGCCGCATCCAGTACCTTCTCTGCTCGATCCCGGGGCACCTTGCGCTTGTTCTCCATGTCGCACTTGTTTCCTAGCAGGAGGCGCTGCACGCCAGCGGATGCGTTCTGGAGAAAGGGGTGCACGAGACAGGGAGAGAGGGGTCACTGAGCAGGCTGGGATGAGGGTGGGCTTCCTTGCAACCCGGGGCCGTACGACTTAAGCCTGGCTCCTCTGCAGAGGCTCCTCGAGAAATCCGGACCTGATTCTGACTCAGGTGAGGATGGGGAGGCCACAGCTACTGCGGTTTGGTGGGACAGCCTTGGATCGCCCTGTAAGCTATTCTGAAATGGTGTGAATGAAGCTACCGAAGGGAGAGAAGAGGGAGGAGGGACCCCCGTTGAGGCGTCAAATGAGGAGAGAAATGGAGCCGGGCCTGGGGTGCCTAGCAGAGAGAGTCGCCACCGGAAGACTTCCCTGGTGAATGATTACCCAGGACTGCAGGGCATGTGCTGCAAGAGGAGGGCTGTGCCGACTTCCCATTAGCTCGGCGACAGCCTCCTTTCCAGCAGTGCCAGCTGTGAGCTCTTTCCAGCATTGACACATTGCCTGTAACCCCGTGTGTGTCACATCTTTTTGGCACAGTGAATGTTAATTCCTTAGAATCGTGACTCAGAGGCTTGTGCTCAGTGAGGACACAAAGCAGCAGCCCAAGGGCAGCAGGCAGAGGGCTGCTGCTGCCGCCCAGCCGCTCTTCCATCCAGGGGTACGGACCATGGCCCAAAATGGCCTTCTGGGATTCCACAGGTGGACAAGCCCCTTCCTCCGGCTACTGGCCTTTCCCCCAGCTGCCCTTCCCTTTTGTGGTTTTTTGAGCTTTTGCACAGTTCCCCCCCCCCATCGTAAAAAGGCCGAAAGGCCCCGCCTAAGATCCAGTTAGTCCCTGGCATTGAGTTAAAGCAGGTTGACATTTTGGGCTTCGCTCTTCTGCCTCCGTTTCCCACCACCACTGGAACACTGCGCCCCCAAGAGCCTCTCCACCCACCGAAACCTGGTGCCAGGGGCTCGCAACTCAGAAATAAAGATCTGTGAGTCTGGGGATTTGTTTTGGGGACCAAACAGGAAAACTCATCCCATTTTATGGTCTTTCTAATGAAAAACCCACTTCTGCTTTCCACAAGCTGCCCCCACTGCAGCAGTCTTGCTAAGGCCTGGTCTTGCTAAGGCCTGGGGAGGGGGGCTGGGCAGGTGAGATGAAGATCCGAACTTATTTTCTTGCTATCAGAAAACACTCAAGAGTCAGGAATCCTGGTGGATCTGTTGCAAAGCGCCCAAAGCAGCTCTACTTTTGTCCCCTGCCCAAACAGCAGGTCAGGTAAGAAGGTGACTGAAGGGAAGGAAACATACCCGCCACCCCTCCAATCCATCCAGCCCCACTCCCCACACTTGTCCTCTTTGATGCTCACTCACCTCTTTGATGCTCTTCATCCAATTCTGGATATTCTCGAAGGACTTTTCATCTGTGATATCATATACAAGGATAATCCCCTGGAAGAGAAGCGGGTGTTAACCTGTTCGAGGGCGACGGACCTCCCCTCCCTGCTGTTCCTCTACCTCTTATCAGAAATCAACCATGCAGCTCTGCCTCCCCGGCACCTCTTGGCTGCACTGCCCTCCCACAGCTGGGAGCATCTGGCGTATTTGGGACAGCCGCTGGCACATCAAAAGCTTGGAGTTCACCAAAAATGCAAAGCTTTTTCCGCATTAGAGGACACACAGAATGAAAGGAGGCACACAAGAGTCTGCCGGCATCTGCTTGTTTTGGTCACGTCTTATCACGTGCCAAGCACAGGGCGGCTGCTTGTTATTTCTGCTTTCAAAGGAGAAAAGCAAGCTTCCAGTCCTTCTTGTGCAGAGAAAAGCCGGAAGCAGATAGAATTGGCACAGTCCAAAAAGAGTCTGGGAGCTATTTCTGGATATGAGAAGACATTCTGATATTAATCCTTGGCCAGAAGGCAGTGATTTCACACTATGTCTTTCATATCTTTTCAAATAATTATCTGAAATAAAAGGGAATGTGTGTTTCTGTGTCTGCAGACACAGCGCTGACTAGAGACTTGAACCTTGTTCAGGTTCTGGAATCCCACTGTCCATATCACATCACAGAAGTTGGATATTGCTTTTTTGTTTTGCTTTTTTGTTTTTTAAGCACATAAAATAGCCCTTAAGGCTGCCCGGTCACTTTTCTCAATTTGCTTTGTACTGCCAAACATCCTTCAACGGAGAGCTTCTTCTTGCTGGCCAGCCCTGCTGCTTCTCGTGCTTTTAGGCACGGGTCGGGGCCCCTCGCTGAGCTAGAGAGAGCCCATGGGTGCCAACACCACACCCACAGAAGGACAGTCTATCCTGGCCGAGAGGAAAGTGGTCCAGGAGCGGGGACAAATTCCGTACCATGGCTCCTCGGTAATAGGCCGTGGTGATGGTCTTGAAGCGTTCCTGGCCCGCTGTGTCCCTGAAAGAGACATCGGTCTCAAATCACTATGAGGAGCATTACCTGGAATCTCTTGACTGCAAAAGCCGTCCTATTCCTACGCCCCACTGATTTTATGTGATTAAAACAAACACATACACTCACAGACATATAAGATGAACTCCACTAGAGCAGGCCAGAGTTGCTTCTAGTCTAGCTGCTAGCGTGCCACAGAAGCCGACCACCACCAACTGCTACTCAAAGATAGACTGCTCCTGACTCTGGAGACTCAGGAGGTTCCATGTTGCTGTTGTCCTGCATCGACAACAGATCGTTTCCATGGAATGAGTCCTCACAGAATTATGAGAAACAGAGGAAAAGGGTTCCTTAGCCAACTTCTCTGCGTTATGCATACTTCTGAAGAGTCCTTTTGCAGTAGTGTAGGACTTCAGGTGTGGAGGCCGAACCCTTGTCTCTGCCCACCAATTGCTTGCTGGTTTGCCAGCTGTTGTGCATTTCACTCACCATTCTAAAAGGAAGCCACGCCACTCCCTGGCTTATTTAATGCCAGGTAAAACTTTTGGTTCAAATATGGGGTTTTGTGCCCCTGCCTTTCGCCTTCAGTCCCCACCCTCCACTAGAATGTGGTCCGGTCCCTGAGAGCTGCTCCAAAATTAAATTTGGCCCCCGGGCTGCAGAACATTCTGCATGCCTGCCCCCACCACTCACCCGGCCATTTCCCGACCACTGCCCTGAATTAATGGGATTCTTCGACGGATTCCACAAGCACCTCTTTGTTCAAATCCCTCCAACCTGTCACTTCCATGTTGTCAAAACACAGTTTGCTGGGGCACCACCATGACTATTTTTGCTCTTGCTGCTCCTGCTAACCCTGCCCCGAAAACACGTACCAAACTTGCAGCTTGATCCTCTTGCCCTCAATTTCCACTGTCCGAATCTTAAAGTCAATCCCTGCATGGAGGAACAGGCGGTCCGTAATGGAGTAATTCCACATGCACAGCATCAAGCCTTTCTTGTTCAGCTTTAATTCATCCAGAATAACTAGCTACTCCTTGTTCTACACCCATCACTGTGCACACACATACACAGATTAGCAGCACATCCCATGTCTCTCTGGAAAGAAAACTGTCCTACATTTCCCAGCATCCCCCAGTGAGCCCTGCAGGATGAGGGATGCTGGGAGTTGTGTGCCTTTTTTCTGCCTAAACACACAGCAAGCTTAGAAGAGTCCTGCTGGGGTAGACCCAGAGTCCTTTAAACCCAGTGTTGTCTTCACACAGTAGCCGACCAGTTGCCCAGGGCAGACCCACAAACAGGACATGAGTGCAACACCACCCCACCCATGTTCCCCAGCAAGTGATGTACTTAGGCAGGCTGCTTATAATATGGAGATGGCATATAGCCATCAGGACTGGTAGCCATAGATAGCCTTTCCCCCCAGGGATGTATCCAGTCGCCTTTTCAAGCTGTACAAATTGGTGGCCGTTGCGACATCTCAGGGAAGTAAGTTCCAGATCAAATTTGCACTGTTTGAAGTAGCCCTTTCTTTTACCCTCCCAAATCTCCCACCATGAAGCTCCCACCAAGCTTCATAGGATGTTCCCCTCGACCTCTAGATTTGTGGGAGAGGGAGAAAATGGGGTCCCTCTCCACTTTTCCCACACCAGACATCGTGATGTAAACTTCAATCACATCTCCCCTTCCTCGGGAAGCTAAACAGCCCCAGACATTACCCCTTTCCTGATAAGGGGAGTGGCTTCAGCCCCTTCCTCTTTCTGATTCTTGATCCCTTGTCCCTGAAACACATATTTGTCCTTAAGGTGTTGCCATAAGATCCTTTGTGGGTGCTGATCATCTTGATTCCTGCCACGCAATGCCGATGGAAGGGCTTGCGTGGCAGGGGCACTTGGAGCCCCAAAGGTAAAGATGCCTGGAGGCTGACACAGCGACCCCCATCCGAGGAAGCGTCTGTCCTAACCCACATTTGCCGGCACTCCAGAGCCCTCGTTCTCACCAATGGTGCTGATGTACGTGCCGCTGAAGTTGTCCTCCGCAAAGCGGATGATCAGGCAAGTCTTGCCGACGCCACTGTCTCCGATCAGCAACAGTTTGAAGAGGTGATCGTAAGACTTGGCCATGTCCTTTTGTGGACGGCGCCTGGGGAATTGTTCCTGGGAGGAAAAGAAGAAAACACGAGAGGAAAAGGACAAGGAAAAAGAATCTCAAACTTGCAGGATGAAAACTTGCAGCTGACTCCTCCTCCTCCAGTCCAGCAGCTCTTTTCCCCCTCTTCTTCCTTCTTCTTTGCAGTCCAAACCACTCCCTTGATCCTGTTTGCTGGAGCGGGCGGGCGGCCAGGGGCGGGGGGGGGGGGCACTGGTTAACGGAGCAGGCCTTCAAAATCTGAGCTTAAGCTGACTCAACCCAGGCTGGGAGGGACTTGGTATTCAATGGCCAAGTCATTAAAAAAAAAAAAAATCTGGGACTTTTCATTCATTTGTAGGAAGGAGGGGTTTTTTTAGCTCTCTAGAAAGAAAGCCAAAGAAGAAAAGAGCAGGCTGTAGAACATGTGCAGAGTATCTTCCCTGCAATTGGTTCAAACAATGACACTGCTACACACAACTGTAGCAACACGTGGGTGGCCCTGGATCTGGATCTGGATCTGGATCCGGATCTGGCCTGGAGAGACGATCCTCCAGTTTTCTTCTTTCCACCCTATCCGTTCTTCCTCTTGTGTCGTATCTTTTAGATTGTCAGTCAGAAGGCAGACAAAATCATAAAACCGAAATGCATAAGCTGCTCTCTTTAAACAGGATATACATGCACCATGTTGACTCCTTTCATTTACGTCTTTACTCGTATAATGCAAAGTTAACATGCAATAATTCCTTGCTGCAAAATTAATTATTATTAGTTATTAAACGACTTAACTATACCCGGTTTTTACTCCCTGCTTGGCCCTGATACTTGCCAGACCCTGTCTTTCAGCCTAGCCCGCCACAGAGGGATGGAGTGAGGGTACAGTGGTGAAGGGAGGATTATATAAACTGTCCTGGGTTCCTTGTAGGAAAAAAGGCAGGATTATAAAAATGATTAATAAATATGAATAATATCTTGAAGCGGCGGTTGCTAGCTGAACTGGCTGAAGCTGAAGTCTCAGTCCTGCCGCCATCAGAAGAAAGTTTGGGGGACACAAAAGAAGGCCTTTTTTCTTTTGCAACTGAATGCAACTGAATAAACTAACAGCACCAAATATTTAAAATGTCAGCAGCAAGCAAGCAAAAGGAGACCAGGGTATTCAGTCCTTTAAAAGTCTTACAGTATCTGGAGCAGCAAAGGTTACCCAAACTTGCTCCAAGGAGTCCTAAATGCTGACAGTATTGCTTAATTGTTATTAATAGGGGCTGCAATGTTTAATAGATTGATTGGTTAGATGAGCATTTATTCTATTACATTTATTTCCCAACTTTGCTCCAAGGAGCCTGAGCTGGCACAATGGTTTCTCTCGCTAACCTATTGCCACTTTATTTATTTATACATTTTTATTTTCACAACAATCTGGCAAAGTAGGCCCAACAGAGAGATGGAATTTGAATACAGGTCCCCAAGCAAGGCCTGTGGCAGAGGAGAGTCTTCCCCCATTCAAAGTATTTTTACATTGTTTTGTAGGCCACCATGACATGGTTTTTGGTAGACAAGCGGGGCATAAACCAACTATAATTTTTTAAAAGATTGCAGCCATAATTAAATGTTTAAGACTTTCTTAATACAATTTCTTATACAAACTGGTGTCAGCAAGCAGCACTCAAGAAGATGCTGTCCCTCATCTCTCTTTTCTACCTGTGGTGGATTCTTCTAAGAAAGCTTCTGCTTCTACACATGGGTGCCTTGTATAAAAACAAAGTGTCTAGATTAGCTTAGCAGAAATTTGCCCCTTTGCCAATTTAATGGAAAGGCTGATCAGCGGTTCAGCTCAAATTCCTAAGTCATTCACTCTGCCCAATCATCCCAATTAATTAGCTTTTCGATTAAATTGGCAGATGAATTTAAAAATCTTATTTTTGTTGAACCAAACCAGATGCTTTCTTTGTTTTGATAATAATTATTATGTAACCTTATGACAAGAAATTATCATCATTATGTAATCTTATGACCAGAAAGTATTAAAACTTTTATGTAATGGATAAGAAATATTGGTCAATAATACCAGAACAGGCTCTTTTAGCAACCGTAAAAGCAATTATTTTGATGAGTGAAACCTATCAGTATTAGTATTGGCATTCATAAACAAACTGCGGTAGGGACGGGTGCAACCTGAGTGGGCCATTTAGACTGGGGTGGGCAATGTTTGCAAAACAACTCTTGACCCTTTTGGACTATTATTCCTGCAAAGCTGCGTTTTGTATCTGGGGCAGCTTTCGCTGAATAGGGCTGCATCTGCTGAAAGTGTTTCTGGCTACCAACACCACCACAGTTAAGAGATGGGGTCAAGCTGTGCTGTAGAGAATTCAGGGGGGACGGAAAATCAGAGTTGTTAACTCCATTGCTCAAGGCAGATATCTCAGGTACAACCCTGTGAGGTAGGCTAGGCCGAGAGCAAGTGCCTGGCTTAGGGCTACCCAGGTCTCCATCTAACTCCAGTCATTATATCACATAATATGATATATTATATCACAGTGGACAGCATTGATAGCAACCTGGACTAGCTACATCTCTTTCTTGGCCTTACCTACCTCACAGGGTTGTTGGAAGGACAAGTGAGGTCACAGGCATGAACACCACCTGAAAATCCTTGGCAAAAAAGCAGGATATAAATCAAACAACAGAGAAGTCGAGGGAGAAGCATCTTGTCCCGCTTTCATCCCTGCCTCTTTTTGTTTGTTTGCGGTTTTTTGTTTTAACAAGGCCCTCTCAAAATGGCGGCCAAAGGCCGGAGACGCGGACCTTCCCAAGATGTCGGCTCGGGGCCGCCTGTGCACGGCGAAGCGACCCTCACATCATGGCGGCGCCCCCGCGATGTCCTACCTAACCTGACACCTCGGCCCCGCCCAAGTGTGGTGGCGGCGGCGGTGGTGGGGACGGGGCCTCTGGCGATGATCCCGCCTCCTGGCTGACTTCCGCCCGTGCGGGAAACCCCGAAGCGGATATAGTCGCCTCTCTTTCCGCTTTGGCTCCTTTTCGGCCGTAGCTGCCTCCACGCGAGCATGCCTGTGAGTCTTTGCGGGGTTTGGGCGCTGCGGGAGGGCGGCCTCCCCGGGGCCTCGCTTCTGAGCCCCGGCTGCGGGGAGGGGGTCGCTTGCAGTCGCCCTGGAAGCCCGGCGTGGCTTGCCCCCGTCTTCCATGCCTTCTAGTCGCAGGCGAGACTCAAAATGGCGGCTCGGGGGTGGGGAAGGAGGAGGGGGAGCTGGCATCCGCCCCCCCCCCCCAGGTTATGCTTTGCGACGCACTATTTCCAAGTGAACCGTGCCTGGATTGGCGCGTGGCGCGAGGAAGGCAGCAGTAGCACAGGTCAGGCGGGAGGAAGGCAGCGGTAGCCTGGAAGTGGCTGCGCAGCCGGTGCCATGCGCACGCCTCAGGTTCCGCACGTTTACCCAAAGGGAAAGCCTGTTGAGCTCAATGGGATTTCCTCCCCGCCTAAGCGTGCGTGGGATTGCAGCAGTTGTGTGTTTGTGCGCCTAGTGAGTTCAAGCACGGCTTTGCCGAAGCTCTCCGTAAATCCTCCAGAGCATCTCTAGCTTCTTGGCTGATAGGCAGGTCAAAGGTGGAGACTGTCAGCCAGTGCCTTGCCAAAGGTCACTTTTGGGTTCATGGTTTAATAACTACTTCCGCTAAACTTAGGCCATCGATGTGCATAGATTGTTATGCCATCAAAAGGGTTGACATTTTAAGGCTCACCAGGACTGAGGTGTTGGTAGATGGGTTAGAATGTGCATTCACCATAGTTATTGGACTAAGATTATGCCAAGGAAATAATGGAAAAAATGGATTTGATTAGCAGTGCCACCTTTCTGGCCTTCAAAACCCTAATTTCCTCTTCCCTTGCAGCTCAGTACATGCTTTCTAGCCAAGTTCCTAGCCTAGAGATGCTTGGCAGTGTTTTGGGGGTTAAATTGAGTTTACAGGGCGGATTTAGTGAGATGTGCTCTTGATTCTAAGCTCTGGTGTATGCTCTGCTTCCTCCATCTCTGCAGCTCGCAAAAGATCTCCTGCATCCCTCCCCTGAGGAGGAGAAGAGGAAGCATAAGAAGAAGCGCCTGGTCCAGAGTCCCAACTCTTACTTCATGGATGTGAAATGTCCAGGTAGAGCAACTTGGTTGCGTGCTTTCTCCTGAACTCCATGCCAAGCAATTTCTGTGTTAGCAGTTAGGTGCTGTTATAGAACCAGTTCTCTTTCTTCTACTGGCTTCAATTTGGATTGCTTCTGTATATTGCTCTTTTTGAAGCAAATGCCTGTGTTGGATATTTCTTTGCTAGTTTGCTTGCTGGTTTATTAGCGTTAAGTATTGGGGGAGGCTGTTCTACTTTCCTGGGGATTATGCTGAAGCTGGTGTTTCTCTTCACACCCCCAGGTTGCTACAAAATCACCACTGTCTTCAGTCATGCCCAGACAGTAGTGCTCTGTGTCGGCTGCTCAACCGTACTGTGCCAGCCCACTGGGGGAAAGGCGAGGCTGACAGAAGGTAAGCTGGGAGCTCGTATTGCTTTGGAAATGGTCAACAGATCTTTATGGTTCTTCTGCTTTATGTTCTCTGCTCACGTGGCGCAATAAAATGTTTAACTGCATGTGCTTTTCGCCCCCTCCCACCGGCTAACCTTCGGTGGAGTTGTGGCTGTTCACGCTTCATAGAACAGGTGGAATCTAGCACAGAAATATGTTTTTAATCTGCTCCTAAACAGGGCGTGCAAGTCCTTTACCTCTTCACAAGTTAGGTATCTGTTACGTGACCCTTCATCCGAACTGTACTGAGCTTTTCTTGGGAGGCAGGCTTGGGCATTTAATCACTGGGACAGCTTTCTCCTTCAAACAAGACTTAATTTGACTGTCAAAGCTGTTCTTAACCAAGGAGTCATGATAATAGGCAGGAAAGAGCCTCCAAAAGCTGTTGTTTACTCACTCGTTGGTTTCTCTGTTTGCAGGATGCTCCTTCAGGCGAAAGCAGCATTAAATTACTGATCCTTGTCCCAGATGGGTGGGGCTATGTGCACAGTTGCCAGCTCAGAGGCTGAAGATCTCAAGAACATGGATGGATGGAGTCCGATACAGATAAATGTGAGCTGAAACTTTGTGACTCTTGAGGGCTACTCCTGCTGTTGCCTCCTATGGAATAGGATTAAACGGTGGCTATCACACTGTCCCTGTAGCCTCACCCATTTGACTCAATAAATTTTGGATATATAAAGACAATCTAGTTTTGCCTCTGTGTTGAGTCTGGGAGTTGCTTGTGAATTTGAGGCTGCTTTCTCTAGCCCAGGCAGTTGCCTGAACTTGCTGTGGATCTAGTTACAAGGCAGGTGAGGTGGATGAATAACTGCATCCTTGTGTGGCCTGGAAAAACATGAAAATTACTGGGCTAACTATTGCGTGGATGTAACGAAGTTGTTTCTGCATTCTGCTGCCTCAAAAGGGCTTTCTGTCCTTGGCCTGAGCCCAATGCAAGGGACCTTGAAGGCAAAACTGCCCTGCTGCCCTTTCAAATTCACCCAGCCAGGAATGCATCTGCTCCTCCCCAAAGATGACACCTGCCATAAGCTTCACCGCTTTATTCTTTCCGTGCCGCTGACGGTGCTGCTTCTAGGGAAGATGAAACCGTTTCATCTCCTCACGCTCCAAAGCCAGGCCTGAGTTCTGTTCCTTGTATGGTAATGGTGGTGCTGAGTGCTTGGGGGACCACTGTATCCTGGAAGTTAAGTGAGGGTGGGAGGAGAGATGAAAAACAGCTTGAAAGTCTGCAAGCACCCTTCGGCCACGATGCATCCCAGCCAATCAGGAGACTGTTCAGAAATCCACAGTCCTTGCTGCCTATGGCAAGCAAACTGGTTCAAGGGCAAACCTCAATGGAGGGAGCTGAGAACTGAAGAAACCGAAGGTTGGCGAGCCAAAAAGGCTGATAAACAGGGGACAGCCAAATTCTTTTAGCAGTATCCCTCCAAATTCCTCATTTCCTAAGAGAGCCGCTACTTTCAGACTTGTGCCATGTCACATTGCAATGGCAGTTCGACTGAACAGAGTGTCGGTGGAAGGGTGCCTTTTGACTCACCTGTCTGTACAGAGCCTGGCGTGGGAACGTAGACAACGGGGACTGTCTGCACACTGGTCAGGAAGCTATTGTAGGCTGTGGGGACAACCGTTTTAGGGTTAGTTCTGCCCTTAACCTGCCCAGACTCTTTGAAGCACGAGCAAGGTCAAGCTATTTCTTCCACTGTCAGGTTTGCTTTATGTATTGCTTGTGTTTTTCTTGCTTGCCTCTGCCCACCTCCAAAGTATGGGTATGCACGAAGGTGTTGCCAGCGTGCCTGATTTACAGGGATTCACACAACCTTTGAGAGTTCCAAGCAGGCCAGTATCCTATAGAGGAGGGAGGGGCGCTGGGTCCGAAGCCTGGCTAGGTCAGGGTGAGAGCGAGGCTTGAACTTGCTCGTAAGGCTTGATCCTTCCGCAAGGGCAGCTTCCTCAAGAGGCAGGTGCCCCCGCTCCCCTCATGAAGGTGATAGTCCTACTTACTGAGAAAGATGACCATGGTGGATGCTAGAACAGCAAATACAGTGAAGAGCAGGACCTGGTAGGAGCCCACAAGCTGCTTTATAAGGCCCATTTCAGCACAGGGACCTAGAGAATTTCACAAAGCCTCGGTCACGCCCGGTGCGCCGGGTGGCCACCCCAGGGCAAAGCTGCTTGCCCTTCTGGCAGCCTCCCTCCAGTTATCTCGGACTACAATAATCCTGTTACCCTGGGAATTTCTTGGAAACTGCCTGGAGAGCTTTGGCTAGCGGACAGGAGGAACGTAATACATGCATGAGCTTGGCCATGCTGGCAGGGGCTTCTGGGAGTCCCCCAGGCCTACCCTCGTCCCGCGCCTACTTCAGGCAGGGCTCTCTGCGGTGGGTGGGTGGGTGTCGTCGATACGGCGCTCACCCAGCAAGTGCCTTTCTTCCAAAGCCCGCACGAGCACGGCGGCCCTCTGGCCCGTCAGGCTGCAGGAGAAATTGACGAAGACGGGCGCCGCCATCTGGTGGAGAGATGTCAGGTTGACCACGCTGACGGAAAACAGGACAAGTCCGGGCACGTCGGGCAGGCGCAGGGGCCGGGCCACCGCGATCACCGGCGAGCTGGGCTGGGCCTTGGCGAGAGGGAAGAAGGCAGCGCGTCGGACAGGGGACAGTGCCATCCGGCAGGGCTGCTAAGCCGCTCTGCGTGAGGACAACGGCCGAGGGGTGCGCCGTGAAGGTGACGGCGGTCCTCGCACGGGTGGCTTTGGCGGGCTAGGTCCGCAGAGGCGTGACAACGGAGGGCTTGTCGTTTGGCCTGGCAATGTCCGACTCCGCATGGTGCGCTTTCCCTCACTAGAGGAAGGTGAATGTCATGTCGAGGCTGCGAGTTGTGAAAACCGACGCAAGGGTCAGCTGTGCCTTGGAGGAGCGAGTGGAGGGGGTGCCCATCTGGGGTACAGAAGGCAGGGTGCAGAAATAACGACAATAATCAAAGTGGTCCCTCATCCTGAGCTCTTCTGCTCGCTCCTCGTCCGTTCCACCTTTGCCTAGCACCACAGGGCCACAGAGGCACTCCCAAAGGGGGCCAGCCTCTCGCCCGTCGGTGCTTTTCGCCACGTGGGTTATGCGCTGGCCTGCCCAGCCTTCGGCTTACCTCTATTTTTTCGGCCACTCTCCTGGCTCCCAGCACCAAGATGTCACTGCTCAGCTGTTCGCTGCTGAAGACGACTTCCGTCTGGTTGATGAAGAACGCGGGCAGGAAAGGGACAGAGAGCCTCCCTGCCCCGTCCCGGCCGTGTTCGCCGACAAGAGAGGCGGCCAGGTGCACCGAGCCCTCGGCGGTGCTCAGGGTCAGCAGGTCGTCCTCCGCCTGGGGCTTCACTGTCACGATGCAGGCGTAGAGGCCTTGATGTGAGAGGCGGGGAGGGGGGAAATCGGAGACTACTGAGGTGGCCTGCCTGGGAAATCTGGCTGCGGCCTCCCCAACCTGGGGCCCTCCTCCGGCTGTCTTGGCCGGGAGTGATGGGAGTTGCAGCCCGACACGACCAGAGGGAAGCCGATTTCAGAAGCATGTTGATGAGCCATGTGGGACTAGAAAGCGGTTGTGGCACGGCGGCCCGGAGGCCTGGCTGCGACTCGTCCCGCCTCTGCCCAGGAACTCACTGGGTGGCCTGAGGGGCAGCGGTGCCTCGGCTTCAGTCCCATGAAGCCTCTGCCCCACACGCATGCAAGATGGGGGGTGATGGTATGGAGCCTGCTCTCTTCCCTGCCCACACTGTGCACCCCAGGGTTGCTGCCCACTCATTGTCCTAGGGCAGGTTTCCATGAGAGGAGGAAGACGACAGAAAACATCTGCTTCTGGTCCAGCTGGTCTCCCGTCCCAAAGCCATCCTCACCTTGAAGGCAAGGATCCTGATGGGAGTGTTGGTTCTCTTTTTAAAAAATGTCGCTATTTACTGAAATTTAATTATTTTATATTGCCTATAACCTGCTATAGCAGTATTTGTTTACTGCAAGGTGCCAAATAAATCGTATTGCCTTCCCTTACAGGAAATAAATAAAATGGGTGGATTTGCACAAGTTTTCCAAACCAGGAAGTTTTGAGATAATCTGGCTAGCGTTTTACTCGGTTCACCAGCAGTAGCCCCCATTCCTCTTCAGACCACACTGCAAAAAGGTTATGCCCACCTTTGTCTGTGTAGAATGCAGACTGCACATGAAAGATTTTATGTGCTGGGATGTCGTGGACTGTCTCGCCGAACTCCAGCTGGCAGAGCAGGTGAGATTCTGGTACGAGGAGCTCCGTGATGGCGTGACGCTGAGCCAGACTGCAAGGCCCTGCAGAAACAGGAGATCAGCATGCAAATTGAGCAAATGGAGCTGCTTCCTGCAGGCGGTCCAGAGACCCCACAAGCGCCTTCCTCTTTGAGAAGCAGCAGCTGGAAGAGCACACAATTTAGCATCAGATAAGAGGGGATGCCGCCAACCTGGAAGAGGCTAAAACTGGGAACGAGGAAACAGGTTGGCCATCTGAATGTAGTGTTACAGGACCTTCCTTCCGCTTTCACTTAACTCAGTGCTGGAAAGAAAACCAAGCCAGTACTAACCTTTGGGAAAGGAATTACCATTTCACACAGAGAACACAGGCAACACACACTCTCAGCATCTGGCAGCTGCTGCTGATAGCACGGATTTGAACGTAATACTGAAGCATTCAGAGAGGGAAAAAAAACCAGCCCAGTTTTTCCAGTATTTTCTCGTGTCTCTTCTGAGAGGAGGCCTTTCTTCTCTCCTGGAAGAAAGATGCCAGCTGTGCCATCCAAGATGGCTGTAAGGAAAAAAAGAAAATAAGGTGCCAAGGCTCTGTCATGAATTCCCAGAGGCCAGTCCAAAATGTATTTCCTGAGCAGCATGTCTATTTGTGCTGGATGTACAGCCAAGCAAAAAGATTTACCTTGACTGGTGAAACCATGCTGGTGGGCTGCGGAACTATACATTTACTGGGCATCCATTAACACCTAAAGTCAGTATGGCCTAAGGGTTCCGATGCTGGACTGGGACTTAGGGTGTCTGGCCTACAGTTCCCATTTTGCTGCTAGGCCAGTCACAGCCTTTCAAACCTCACCTACCTCACTGGAACAAACTGGAAGTGGTGGAGGGTGATGTAAGGCACCTTGGGTTTCTCCCGAAAACCACTGCTAGACCTCATGGGGTAGCCTGGCTTTCCTCCAAGGTAGCCACAAACCCAGCACAAACCAAGTTATCAGCAGAAAAGAGAACTGGGGGGAAGAAGCAATAATTGTTTTCTACCTCGCAGGGTTGTTGTGTTGCTCACAGCAACAACAACCTGGAATTCAGAGGAGTTTGGAGTGTTGGTAAGGCAGTTTTTGGAACCAAGGTGGAGACTTAGTTTTGAGGACCCACGGACGACGACCTGGAGAAAACGAGACAATTGAATGGAGAAAGGTTTGGGCAACAGCTGCTTCTCTCTCAGAAGGCATTTGTCATCACACAGGCCCACGCAAGGGCAACGGCATGCAAATTGCAAGATCACTCCCTTCCACTTATTTTCCATGAAAACACGGAGGTGAGGACTGTTTCTATATTATCAGTGTCGGTGGTCGAGCTCTGGTTTTGGACGAGGAACACGTGCACTTTCTGCTTTTAAATGCATCTTATCTGAAGGTCTTGCGCTCCGTCAAAGAGCTCAGCTTTGTTCCACACAGCGGCCTGCGCCCCCTCTTGAGTGCAACTGACTTCCAGAACATGTGCAGCATGTTGCCCCCAATCCCCCAATCCTCCGTGTCCCTTCTCACCGCCCGTCCTTTCCAGGAGACCCTGCTAAAGGTGTTCTACTGCAGTGATGCACAACCTCTTCCAGGCAGGGGTTCAGAAATCCCCATTTTGGAAACATTTGGGCAGGTTCTCCATCCCTAAAAGCCAAGGGGAACAGGAGGCAGGGCCGTGCATTAGAAATGGTAGCACTGCCAGCTACTGAGTCTTTTCCTGCCAGTCACTAAACCCTAGAAGGTCTTCCAGCTTTCCAAATGGCTCTCAGCCTTGCCAAGGACTGCATGGCCAACACCAAATCAATCTTTATCGCCAGGGTAAACCCCCAGAAAGGCCTTAACCCAGTTCAATAGCAGGTTCCTCTCTTCAGGGTCGGGAAAGGGAGTAGGCCAGGGATGCCCCATGTACCATTTTAATGTTCCAACCAGACCGTAATTTGTTTTTGTTTTTTGTTTTTCAATTTATATCCTGCCTTTTTCCTACAATGAGAATTAAACGAGCCCCAATTCTGGCAAAGATACGCTCTGAGAGGTGCTGCCAGCTATCACTATGGAGGCTGACAAGAAGAGAGGATGTAACCTGGGTGCAGGCAGAGGTGATCACAGACCGTCCTGCTGCCCTTGGCCAAAGACTTCAAAGGAAGAAGCAGCTATTCCATTAGTTTAGACCCAGCTTCATGAAACAGTGGCTAAATGGCTTTCCCCCTCCTCCCTCCCAATGCCCTTTTCTTCCGTGTTGTCCTAGCAACTAAGTTCCATTTTGACTGAAGGCTGGAATAAAGTACAATAAATAAATATGCACTCTGAGCCCCTGTATTCTTTGGGGGGAAGGGGATATCTAAATGTTGCCCTCCTGTCACACTAGCAACTTGCTTCCTGTGATGCCCCTTGGGGCAGAACACACGTGACTCCTACCTCTCTGTAGGTTTTCACTATCCCCGGGATATCATGAAAAACGGTGGCTTTCCCAGCATTCTTTGCAAATGCTGCTCCACTCACTGTGTCCATCTTGAGGATGTTGCTAGGTGTGATTTGCCAGGTCCCAGGTTCCCCTGAAAGCAGAAAAAAAGAAAACAAAACAGCTTTCTCATTTCCATACTCTTTCAACTGTGCTTGAGGATTCCACAGGCTGAATCGACTGCATAGCGCAGAATTCTAGACTCTCTTGCGGTTTTGGACCTTAATTCAAATCCCAATCTGTGGAATGTCTGCCTAGGTAATTTTGGGTGTGCAAAGTTACCCACAGTCCACATTTTAAAAAAATAGAAATTAATCTAACCTCACAGAGTCTGTGAGGATGAAGAGAGTAAAGACTGCAGAGCTGCCACCTGATCAATCCTATGACCAATCCTATGAATCTGAATTCAAGAGCTGATTTTAGATAAACTAGACTGTGTTCAGCTCAATTCTGTTTTGCACTGCTTGACATTCTGGAGACAACAGAGGTATGGACTTTAAAAGTCCATTAAGCAATGGAAAAGCTGCACAACATTGTCTGGTTTCTTAACCCTAGGGGTTATCCATCTAGAAGCTCGGTATATTTCTCTTTTATTGCGGGTGCATATTCAAGACTTGGTGTGTTGCCTCGGACACAAAAGTCCCTGCTGCACACTTACAGCATTTAAAAAGCAGCATTTTCCCTGCACCCATCCTTAGGGGTGAAATGGGCATTTAAAACTGCATGAAGGACAATGGGTAAAGCCAAGATAATGCTTCCACACTAAGAAGCCTGCTTGCATATAAAAAGAAAAGAATGCAGGTTGTGTTTCTTCTTCCCTTAAAACAGCCCCTTTTACAAAATTCACGCAGGGTGATTTCGGGGGTCGCAGAGTGCAGAGAAAACCTTTTTACAAGGGGGTGAAGAATGGCTGGCATTCCAGCAGATGCTCTCTGGGTTACTCTTTTGTTTGGAAGATGTGACCAAGGCCTAATTTGCAGCTCTGCACTCAAGCCAGAGCAGTCATAAAATAGCAGCCAATGAAACAAATGTAGCCTCCATTATATACCGAAGCCTTTAAACTGCAGCTGCAATATCGTTTTGGAAGGAAGGAAGGAAGGAAGGAAGGAAGGAAGGAAGGAAGGAAGGAAGGAAGGAAGGACGGACAGACGGAAGGAAGGAAGGACGGAAGGACGGAAGGACGGAAGGACGGAAGGACGGAAACCTTTCCTGTCTTTCTTCGCCTGTGGGACCCCATGGATTGGAAAGCAGTAAAGCACTCTGCTAGAGACAGGGGTGGGAATCAGAAATGGGGCAAAGAGCAGGAGGGCAGAGAATTCATTTGTCTCCAAGGGTGACGTAGGTGCGCCTTCTAGGAAGAGGGCTAGGAAACTCTGAAGAGGGCCACCCCCAGGAATTCCAAGGTGGGCACAATTCCCCCAAAACAAACACAGTCAGCCACCGCCCACCCGGGATTAGGAGGGCTGGCACCTGGGAAAGGCTTCTCACCCTTGCCGAGTCTCCTTTTTCTAATTCTTGCTGCTCTGGGAGGCACCCCATCCACGGTTTATGTTCCCTGCCTCATTCTAGGTGGGACAGAGCCCAGAGGGGACGCTCCTCCCTTGAACAGGGAACCTGCTTGCCCACGACTGTCCAAGGGGGGTGACTGGGGCCAGAGGTCTGCCACTGACCTTCCTGGTTCACAAGGGGCGTGCTGAAGCACACCACACCGCCCACCACGAGTGGTTCGGGGAGCTCTGGCTCGATGGCGTGCTCCACCGGGACTGGGATGTAATCGGCCATGCCTGGGTGCTTCTCATCCCAGACACCCAGCATGGTAACACCCCTGTTCACAGCTTGCGCAACGTAAGTGTAATTCTTGTTGCTCGGGCGGATAAGGAGCAGGTCATCTCTGAAAAACAAAGAAAAATGGACCCTGTGGTGGGTGCTGAATGCAGGAAAATGGCTCCCTCCCACATGGGGCTCTTGATGAGTGGGAAGGATGAAGGGAGCTGCGGTCCAGGAAGCTTCACTTCCCACCTCATGGATGCTGTTTCCAGCAAGCACAAATGTGGTTGGTCTGCGGACTACCAGATCAGAAGGTAGATGCAGCGTGGATTATATGGTTTGTGACTGAAGGAGGATTCCCGAGATAATGGGAAACATCTTTGATTTAAAACACTCTCAGGGGGCCACTTCACACATTATGTTTTGCCTAAAGAAAGCACTTTTGGGTCAAAGAACCTATAAAACCTACATACAGATGGCGATGGCCACACAGAGGCATTCAAGGCCTGGGAAGCCACAAAGGGCCAACGAAAGGGCTGAACAGAGGGCTCTCCAAAGCCCGGGGAACGGTTGTTCCAAATTAAACCGATTTCACAGCACATGGCACGGCCCTTTCCGGAACATGCCTTCCTAGGACCACACCTGTTCAAGGCCAGGTAGAGCTGGCTGCTCTGCGCATGGAAGATCTCCCCCGTGCTGTCATAGAACTGAACCGTGAGAGTCAGGGCCATGCCCAAGGGAAAGGCATGCAGAGGCATCCGGCTGGCTGTGTAGAGCTTGGGGCTGCTGCTCAACCGCAGGTAGGACACCGGGGCCACCTGGAAAGAAGGGAGGGAGTCCTTCGTTTCCATTCCACATCCCTGCCACCTGGGATGACCGAGGGCCGGGGGGGGTCCCAGGTCCCCCAGAGGACTGCAGTGACACAGCCTCTTCTGCTATTCAGTGTAGGCCAGCCAGCCTTCTCCAGGCCTTCAGCTCCCATCAGCCCCAGCCAGCATGGCCGCAGGGCAGGAATGCTGTCCGGGAGGGTGCCAAGGTGGAGAAGGCTAAGCTACACCATGCTCTTTAGCAAGCTGGCAGACACTCTCAACTGCAGGGGCGCAGAAGCTTCGGCCCGCGGGTCAAGTCCAGCCTACGTGGAGGCCCAGTCCAACTTGCCAGGATTCCCCAGATGGCCCCACTCCTTCCCAGCCACCTGTCATTTGCCTATTTCCCCCCATTCTGAAAGGGAAATGCCTCTCCTGATGTTGGCAGGAAGCCAAAAGATGCCATGATTTAAGCATCTTGGCTCTGCCCCTTTGGCGTCTGCTTCTACCCACTACCAGAATACGGCCCCCGAGAGCCTCTTCAAAATGGGATTCTGTCCTTGGGCTGGAAGAGTTCCGGCATTCCTCCTTGGATCAATACACGGAATTCCCAGGAGTCACAGCCACCTTCTCACATGCAACACTTCCTGCCTTAGCCACGCGTTCTGGACTCTGCAAGCCCAGGACCCTGTAAAACCTGGGCCTCAGCCGCGGCCAACGCCAGGCTCCCTTACCCGCACTCCGGTGATGACTGTCTGGTTGACTCCGAAGAGCTCCAGGGAGGTCACCTCCAGCACAGCAGTGCCGGTGATCGCGCCTGCTTTGAGGAGGCCATGCCTGTGCTCCTCAATGACAGAGGAGTTGGGGAAACACTGCAGGATCTGGGCGTTCACAAACGCCGCCCCTTCCCTAGGACAGAAATTAAGGGTGAGCGTGCCATGCCCTCTCTTTGGGCGACCAGGGATGGGGCCGGAAGGAACTGATTTCTAGCCTGAAATGCACGCACAGATTGGGTTCAGACAACCTGACAGATGGCACTCGAAGGTCGACTGTGGGTTGAGTATGGGTTGTTGCCGAAGCACAGGTCACTGAAGAACTGTGCGTCATTGTGTTGTCTGAACAAGCTATAGTTTGTTAACCACAAATAACCCATGGTTTGTTGCTAGGTTGTGAACTGTGAGTTGTTCACCAGGATTCGTTACCACAGCTGGGTTCTGGCAACACCGTAATCTGTGCTTCAAGAACAACGCACACTCAAGCCACACTCAGTCAATGGCCATCAAACACAAGAGGCAGCAACAGCGCCCTCCACTGACTACATACGAAGGCTGGAATGGTTTTCTCCTCGGCGCTTACCACACGTTGAACAAGGCAGAACGCCACCTCATTCAAAGGTCACTAGCAGGGCTGTGTTACTCACAGAGCAGCCTCTGCAAGGACTGACTTCCAGGTAGTCAGGTCCGTGGTTCACCACCCCCACCCTCAGCCCCCAGAAGGCCGGAAAAATGCCAGAAAGCAATGCTTATGTATTCAGGTTTGCTATGAGTTCGCATTTCTGGGCTGCTGTCTCCTTAGGCTATTGCTGTGGTTGGTTTTCCTCTTCCCACTTCCAAACCTGTTTGTAAGTAACTTGAGCTGTGAATTCATGGACATCAGAATTTGTTCTGCGGGGCACCCTGGAGAGAACAGCTGGAGTTTGTCGAACACCTATAAGGACAGAAAAGGATCCTCTGGATGGAGGGCAAGCCCGGAATACACTTCTGTTCCAACAGCAGCTTCTCCAGATGGCAAAAGGGGACAGCAGAGGGGTCCTTGGAGTGTTCCCACAGTTTGGCTGAGGAGGACATGGTGGCAAGGGCCTACAAGGAAGGCCACGACATACATGGGATAAATGAATAAGAAAAGGGACTTGGAGTAGCCGGAGGGGGTGAAGTGGGGGCTTACTAGTATTTGTACTTCATCTGAGAGCTCATCAAGGTTTCCTTCAAACTGCTTGGCCTGCAGGCCCGAGCTCCGCACTGTCACTCTGATACTTGTTCTTCCAGCTGCTCTCGTGTGCAAGACCATTGCAAAGTTACTCTCTGGAATCAGCTGCAAGGAAACCTGGTGAAGAAGCAGGGGAATCCTAGACCTGCCTACCCAAGAATTCCTTTTCTCTTTCCTCCAGAAATGGTTCCCCGACCGAGTTTTTCCCGGCCTTGTTTGGATTCAGCACAGCTACACAGTTGAAGCGTCTGCTCCAGTTTTTCAAAGGGGCTACACAGGAGCTCTTTGAGCCCCAGCACCTGAAGTGCTATAGAGGGCACTTAGGGAGAAATACCTCTCCACAAGTATTAAGAAAACTCCCATGTCCTATGAGGTGAGAGGCCACACTCATTTCCCACTTAGAAACAAAGGAACAGAGCGAGTCAGAAGGGGTCTCCTGGGCTATCTAGTCTGACCCCCAGCGCCAGCCGGCTCTGCTCACGACATGCCCACTTCTCCACCAATGCAGCGGGATATTTCATCCAGAAAACTTTTCCAGTGAGCCCTCCCCCCCTTTTCAAGGTAGCCCGAGGGTTAAAATGCTAAATTCTGCAAAAGGAAGAGCCATCTCTGATAATGGATTTGGATTATCAAGTCGAATACACAGTGGGGAGGGACAGACACAAGCACGAAGGCCAGGCAAATGAAGGAGGGAACCACAGCGGTGTCCCATTGCAATGCGGAACAGAAATGAAGGCGAGCTCTGTCTGGGAAGCAACTTAAGGAAAGTAGCCATCAGCAGCCCAATATCTAACGTGGGACAAATCCCTCCCAGCAGGGACAAGGCCACTCCCATCCCAGTCCAGTCCCCGTTCTGCAGCATAAAATTCAAAACCGCATGTTTGACTCTGCAGCTTCCTACCAACGCCCGACTATGAAGTTTCCGTGCTGTCCTGCAGCAGCTAAACGAAGCGCACTGTGAGAGGCAGCTCCTACCTCACTGTGCCTGGGAAGGAAATCCAGAACATCCCGTTTGCTCATGGACCAGTGGAATGACAGCGCCGGGTCGGCGTTCCCAAAGGAGAATGGAGTCACCATGCTAGTCAGTCCGATTACATAAACAGGCATCTGCAAAGAAAGGCTTAACTTAGATTCTTGTTAAGATTCTAATACATCCTGGCCATTATTATTGCTGCTAGATCCCAACTTTCGTCCCTTTGCAAGGAGCACAGGAAGGCTTTCAAGATTCACTTTCTGTCCATGTTATCCTCACTACAACAACCCTGAGAGGTAGGTTAGGTTGAGAATGCCCGACTGGCCCGAAGTCACCCAGCGGGCTTCATGATTGAGCAGGGACTAGAACCCGATCTCCTGAGTCCCAGTCAAGCATCCTTCACTCCCACACTGCTCTGGCTCTCGGCACTAAGTATTTTATCAAGACAGAGGGGGTAGACCAACGCAAGTCGTGAGGGGAACCCCAACATGCGCTTAATTCAGGGAAGACATCTGTACCACTTGCATTCTTCTGTCCAGGGGTACGCTGCACCCCAATTTCCAGAGCATATGCTTGTATTTTTCAGGGAGTGCTGAAACCATCTGGAACAAATCATGACTGGGCAGAAGGAAGTTTTAAAAGAAAGATGACACGCTGGACCAACCTTGGTACCCGTCATGAGCCTAGTGGCAGGAGCGTGAATCCGGATAGCTCTCAGCTGAACGACTTCCAAGTCCACTTGATCCTGCAGGGTAAGGAGACAGGTTGAGACCGGACAAAAAGGTAAATCTTGCCACATCGTCCAGGCGTGGGTTGCTCTGCGTGGAGCCAAGGGAGGCAGTGCCAAAGCGGTAAGAGAAGGAAAACGTTAGCAGAACTGCTGGGTGATTGGTAGCAAGTGGAAGAGCCAGGAATGGCGATGGGCACCCCATTCCCCGTTGCTTCCCCATTTCAGAAGCAATGCTGTACGGCAGCCATGCAGGTCAGGGATGATTGAAACCGTAGACCAACGGATCGGAAGGGTACCACTCCGAGGGGACCAGAGCTGACGACCGACTTTGACACGTGCTGGAGAACTATGATTACGACTTCTCTCTCGTTGTTTAAACTCATTATCGGCTGCCTTACACCAGGAAGCACCTTTAGGGTGATTTTTAAAAATTTACAAATATGAGCGCAAAGCCTGCTGAAAGCAAGCCGACTGCTAAGTACAGGCCCCAGAGAGGAAACTATGCAGCCCCGCCTGCCTCCACCAGGCTACACCCACCCCAGTCCCAGCTAACCCCAGCCAGTCAGCAACTGCTGTTCCTAAACAGCTCTTCAGCCTCTGCTCCAGTTCAAATGGTCAACTTCTGTTTCTTACTTGTGCTTCCAGAGAACAATAGCCTCTGATCCCACCCTTGCAGATAAACAGGCTATTCAGGAGACCACCCAGCTAGCAGGAAAGGTCCGCCATCTTTTAAAGCACTGATTCACAGCGATGCCCGATTTCCAAGACTCCGTCACAGCAGCAGAGCCTTCTCTGGGTTTTGCTGGACGCCCACCAGGCCCCCATCACGATGCTGGGAGATACTGGCCAACGTTGCTTGGAGGGCATCAGGTTGGGGAAGGCTATACTAGCACAACCAAGGAATAAAACCCAGGATGTGCACTATTTATTTATGTTATGTTAGATATTTGTATTTTATTTGTGTAAGCCGTCCCGAGGCTCTTGCAAAGGACGGCATACAAATATCCTAAATAAATAAATAAGGAGGCAGAAGAAGGTTCCAGCCCTCATGGCGGCAGTGGCAGAAGGCTGGAATTGAGGGAGTAAATGCACTTCAAGGCTTTGGGACCCGCACAGTGCAAAAAGAAATGATAATGCAGTGATTAGAACAGGAAAGGGAGACAGTACCTGTGAAAAGACAATGACTTTTCCTGTGTCTTCATTCACAGCGCGGATGGTCCCCAGGACGGTGGCGGTGCCCACAGCCTTGGCAGTGACCTGCCCCACTCCGTTAATCGTGGCCACGGTCTGATTACTGATGGAGAAGTGAATGAGGGACTGTGGCTGTGGGCCTCCCTCTGACATCACCTGCCGTTGGGGGCAAACGCAAGCGGGAAGTTACGGGGCTGGGGAGGAAGGGCAAGCCTGGAAGCCTTCAGGCGGAGGGCACCTTCCTGCCCTCCAGCAGGGAACAACGCCCCTGGGGTGTGTGCCGTGTCTGCCAATGACCTGGCCTACGATCCTCATCAGGCGGTAAGCCCGGGTCTGTACCTAAATTTTCCCTGGGACAGGAGATGCCCCCGACGGCACCTTCTCGGGGTAACATCTGAATCAGCGCTTGGGGCTGTGCAGAGTTCGCTGCAACTTTCCCCAACCTGCTAGCAGCGCAGATCTGCTGCACGGTAACAGAGGGGTGCCCTCTTTCCCTGGTTTCGCCCCGTTTCTTCTGCCTACCGATCACCTGGGGGCTTCCGGGCCTTTGTCCCTGCACACTGCAAGACCGAAATGTCTCGGGCAAGCTTTAATGACCAGCAATAAGAGCTCTAAGCGAAAACAGACTGGGATTTTTGGCCTGGCCCCTTTTGGCTTAGGTGCCGGACTTCATCGGAATGCTGCTCCCTGAGAGCGTCTCCAGAATGGAACCAGACTCAAAGAGGTCATTACCCCTCAACTATAGCTTCTGTTACACCCTGCCAGCAGGTCCCGCTGCCCGGTTGGCTGAATATGATGGAAACTGTAATCCAGCACAACTGGCAGCACCAGGCTGGGGAAGACTCAGACAGGAGGACGGCTAGAGGATAAATGCGTACTGTGATCGCGCTTTTTAAACCAAAGAAATGGATTGCGTGAATGTATAAATCAATGCTGAGCAATGCTAACTGTCTAAACCAAGCAAAAGAGGGCGGATAACACCATGTCTTATCACAGACACGGGAACTACCGAGAAGCCTTTACACAGGTGAGATGGCAAGGTGCAAAGCTGCAGTGACGGACATGGTGCTAAGAGAGGGACTCTCTCCAGACAGCCTCCTCCACCAAAGGGAGGGTGGGCAGCAAGAGGCATGGCCAGCAGGCTGGTTCCACTTGCCTGGTACTCTGGACTCACCTGCATCATGTTGTATGGAATGAGCGTCATTTTCTGTGGAATGAGCCTGAATGGTGGAAAGACCTGGCAAAACACAACAGCAGCTAAGTGTGAACCTGGGCATCAAGATGGCCTCGGGAACACACGGCGAGATTCACAGGCGCAACGAGAATTTGAGCTGTGGGCACCCAAACAAAATGGCTCCCCTGCAGGAGGTGGATGATCACATCCTGGCTTCTGTGGGGGCCCAGCCAGTGCAAAATGCTGTGGTGGGACAGACACAGCAAAGCTAGAAGCAGGGAGGAAGGGGGAAACAGCGAGTCAAGGCAGCAGCGGGAGAGAACAGTGAGGCTAGAGACCAGGTGCAGGGAGAAACCAGCAAAGAGGCGAGGGGAAGAAACAGTGAGGTTGCAGGCTGGGTGTGGAAAGAATCCACAAAGTCCAGGGGGGAGCAGAAGGGACAGAGCCAGGGAAGGCGAGAAATAACAAGGCGAGCGGCTAGGTGGAGCAAAATACCAGAGCTGGAGGGTGGGAGTGGAGCGTGAGAGCAAAGGGAAAAGGTTTGTATGGGCAGTGGGTGGGACAGAAGGCATCCTTCTCTTTCTGCTTGCTGAACACCTCATCAGCGGCAGAAGTGGAAGGAAAACCAACCACCCTGACATTTTTCAAGTACAATCTTCTCTTGCCTTTTTAGTCTAAGGCTCCTAATTCCACGAGTTAAAACAAAAACAAAAATCTTACAGGAGAAGGCGTTTTACAACATTCTGATCACAATTTGCATGGGAACATGCTTCCCTGACAAGTCAACATGGCTGCAACTGCTTACCTCCACCTTCCGGGGTGCAGAAGTGAATTTGACTCCCGTCTTGTCCCAGGCTGTGGCTACCAAGGTCGTCTGTCCCACTGTCATGGCTCGGAGCACGTAGACTTCAGAATAGTCGCCCACTTCTTCCATCAGTCTGCAGAGACAAGTTTGCAAAGGTTTTATTTTCCCAACTGGGCGGTGAGCACCATACAAATCCACCCGGAATTTCAAAGCTGTCTCCAGTGCCCGTTCGGAATGGCTACTGTCCTAGGCGTACACGATGCACAGAACTATTGGAAGTTCTCTTACAGCAGTGAGAGATTCCTTGGCTGAGTTTGCTGTGCAATCTGGAGTGAACCCACCGAGTAAACAGCAGAGCTCCTGCAAACCTCCCTCTTCCCCTGCCGTGTGGAAGATACTACCAGTCCTCCTAGGAGCTCGAGGAGGATACACAGCTCTCTTCCCAGCTCTGCTCTGCCCCCACAACAGCCCTGTCAGGTAGGCCAGGAAGACCTAGTGAGCACCCCACGGGCTTCATTCAATACTGATGTGACCCCAAATCTCCCCAGTCCTAACCGCTGCACTATGCTCACTCTTGGCAAGACTGGATAGAATATGCTGCCCGAGAAGTGCAAGGGGGGAAATGCAGACCATTCCTACCAGGTGCGACACTTCAGGTGTGTGTGTTATTCCGAAATGGCATACTTCATTCCTAGCGCCAAGATCCTGAGTTTTTGTGGGAGAAGCTACTAAAGTTCATGGAAGCGGGGCGGCACAACCAGCCACTGTTTATTACCACCACTCACTGGGCTCTATGTTTGAAGGCCAACTGGTGAAATCCTTCATTTTTACCAGATGCTGGAGACAAAAGACAGGGAATGACCCTCCTCTTAGCAGCTATGCAGGGGAGTCTGCGCTGCCAGTGCCGGAAGCAGGACGCTGAGCCCAATGTGCCACTCCAGCTCCACGTTTTGCGCCATCCCTGGACTTCCCTGGGATGCTCCATCCCCTCACTGCTGCCACAGCTGCCCACTGCCTTGCGTCCCTTCTGTCCTGGGGCACAGGCCACACCAGCGAAAGGAGGCAAGAAAAGCGAAGAGCACTGCTCCATCTCACAGAAACACAGAAACTGAGCGAGTCAGAAGGGACCCCCTGGGCCATCTGGTCTGACCTCCAGCACCAGCCGGCTCCGCTCACAACATGCCCACCATGTGGACGTCCAGCCTATCCTTGAACACCCTCACCGATGGGGCCTCAACGACCTCTCGTGGAAGCCCAGTCCACACCCTGGGGGTCCTGACTGTCAGGAAGTGCTTCCTGGCATCCAAATGGAACCTGGGTTCCCTGAGCTTTGCTCCGTTGGGGCGCGTCCTGCCTTCCTCCGCAGGGGAGAACAGGTCTCTCCCCACCTCCGTGTGACACCCCCTCACATGCCTGTATGTCGCCAACAGATCCCCTCTGAGTCTCCCCTTCGCCAGCCTGAAGAGACCCGGTTCCCTCAGTCTTGCCTCATACGGCATCCCCTGCAAACCGGCCACCGTCCTTGTGGCCCTGCGCTGGACTGGCTCCAACCTGGCCATATCCTTTCCGTAATGAGGGCCCAAAACTGAGCACAAGACTCCAGTTGCGCGCGCACCAGAGTCGTGTAGAGTCTCCTCCTCGTTCTTGTCTCTGTTTACTTGCTCAGGAGGAACAAGTAGGTAAGAAGCAACAGCACAGAGGACCAGCTAGGAGTGGGGCCCCTCGCTGAGCAGCTGACAGGCAGCTGACCTTGCCCACTGCCCAAAACACCCACCTGTGATGCCAGGCCTCCCAGCAAGGCAGTGCTCACACACCAAGAGAACGGCTTAGAAAACCCACCCCCAAGTTGCTAGAGCAGCCACATGTCTCTTAAAGCAGTTTTTATACTTCTCTCTGGATGAAGGCAACCCTGCTGCTTCCTCCTTGCTTCCCATTTCCAGCATGGAGAGGTCTTCCTGCAAGCCCAGTGCGCAATCCCTAGGAACCCCCCACCAGAGAAGGTCCAACGATTCCCTGCAAGTAGGAGCAGCGCTTCCAAACAGGGCAACAGATTCTCACAGATGAAAGGAGAAAGCCTTGAGATTCAGCAGGAATTACAACAACTGAAGCGCTTTGCAGAGAAGGGCAGGCAGTAGATTGCGGGTTGCTGTGCAGGCCTTACGTAAGGGAAACAATAGGGGAGGCTGCCTTCAGCTGAAGCTGCATGTAGGTGAAGTATTTACTCCAGAAAGGGTGCCGATGATGTCCCAGCACGCGCACGGAGACCAGCACGGATTTGCCAATCTCAATCTGGGGAAGAAGACAGACCTAGTTTGCATGTAACACACACCCATGGGTTGTTTAAACCATAGTCTATTGCCTACCCAGGGCTTGTCTGGCAGAGAATTTAACAAAGCCAATTCTCTGTAGGCTGGTGAAACAGCCCATCAACAATCCCTGGCTCTGGGTTTGCACATAATGACAACTCATAGTCTCTTCCAGGGTTGTTCTTGGTTCAACAAAAATCCAGAATTTGGTGATCCATGCCATTAGCATTATGTGAGCATGCAGCATTACTGGAGTTTTAAAAACCTTCTTCAGTGTGGTTTTGGAGAAGTTACCAGCAAATGAAGGCAATAGTGGCATCATGGGGAAAGTACCACAATTACCCTATACAGTATATTCCTAAATCATCAGTCATCAAGGTGAGCTTTGATTTATTTACTGAAATGATTTATAAGCTGCCTTTTACCCAAACCTCTCCAGGGTGTCATGCAAAAATTCAATGGGGGTGGTGGGGAGGTTCAGCAGCACTTTCAAGGAAGGAATGGCCAACAGAAAGGGTGATTCGACTGAATGATTCCCCCACAAATGTTCCAGGCTCTGCTCAGCTAAACTTTCCAGAGTCTGACACAGGGAGAAGAATCTGTTCCTGCCGAAGGGAGCCCAGGTGGGAGGCGTAAGCCGCCCACCCCAACCTCCCACTCTTTTCCCCCTCTGTACCCCAATTCTTCACATTATGAGGAAAATACAAAGCTGGAACCCTGCGGCCTCCTCTCCGCCTCTAGTCCTACGCTTCGCTCAAACCAGAGATGCAGAGTCAGACAAACTGACATTCAAACATAGTCCCCAGTGGGCTCCTAACACACCTTTCCCCTGTTCCACTTCCAAGGCCACACATACCTTAGCCGCTCCCTCCCTGGCTAATGAGGGCCAGCCTACCATACAACAGGGTCTCAGTCAGCAGGTGTCAGGGACAGAGAGTGAGGGCAAGGTGCTGGGGGTCGGAGCCGTGTGATTCCACCGCCAGTCAGGTTGGCTGCCATGCCCTGAACTGGACGGGGGTGTCATCTTACTCCTTGCCCTGGGAAGGCAGCCCAGTGTCTTGGGCTGGCCCTGCTCGTGAAGAAACCCCCGAGAGCCATAGCCGAGCAGCCCCACTGGCAGGCAGCCTACGTGCCTCTCACCTTATCGACGAGGTCCACTTCCAGCTCGTACATATTGGATACTTGGAGGTAGGCTGTAGCTGGCCCCAGGAAAGCCAGGCACAGGTCATAGACCTCCAAGGTCAAAGAACCGGGAAGCACAGGAACGACCTGCAAAGAGCATTGCGGGAGGCAGGAGCTGGCAGGAGCACATGCTCTGGGTGCACACATGCATGGAATCCCATTTTTGCTCTTTGGGGGAGGCTTTTAGAGCAGCTCGCAGCAATTACAAGGAACAATCACTCTCATCAGTAAAGTCCTAAAGTCATCCCACAACGGTCACTGCAAGCACCATCACAAGAAACGCTGAGAAGACAAATCAGCCACAGCGGAGTTAAACGCTTGCTGCGAGAGAACATCTTCAGGGACTGGCCCAAGATGCTCTCGAGTTCCTGAGGCGTGGGACCCCACACAGGGGTGCCACCCCGGAAAAGCTCCCCTCCCGCACAAGGGCTCCCAGGACACTGTACTCACACACTCACTTGAATGGCGCTCTCTGTCTCCAGGTAGGTGATGTTCACCATTTCCTCTGTGCTGCTGTTGACAAGGAAGTAGCCAGAGCCTTCTACCAGGGTAAACACTTCCTGGGCAGGCAGAAGCAGGGAGCCCGGATCAGGACCCAACTTTGCTCCTTCCCAGACTATGCTGCCTAGAGCTTCCCGAGGTCACAGCCGTTGCTCCCCAAAGGAGGCCACTGCTCTATTCCGGGTGATCTGAGGGCTAAACTGGATGCACATCCATCCTGAACTTGACTGGGTGCCCTAAACCCACCCTGAAATAAAGGATTCCACTGGTGCGAGAGGGCGCTCTCCCTTCCGTTGCAGAGGATGCTGGCTGGATCATGCCCACAGCAGGGGCGAAGGGACGGAATGCCCACCCAGGTGCCAATCTAGATTGCCTCCCCATGTACTTCCTTGAAAAACCCTTCACACCGTTGCTAACTGTGTGGACAGGGTCACATCCCGTTTGGCTCTCGTGCAAAATGACAGCCAAGAAACAGTGAGCGAGGACTGAGCCACAGCATCGTTTGTGCACGCTCCCTCTGCACCAGTGAGTGAGTGGACGCTGCCCTCGGCCCTACCTTCACATCTGGATGGTTGTACATGGTGACATTATCCGGATCCACAGTCACATCCTCAACCAGCAGTAGTTCCACAGCTGCAGAGGCAGGAGAGTTAGAGACCTCCTACAGGTGCAAACAAAACAGGAGCAGAGACCTAGCGGCCGAGAACGGCTGCCTGCAGGTGCTTTCAAAGGCAGGTTTGCCCAGTGCAAAACCAGAATTTTGTTTTTGGATTTTGTTTACGTCTCCCATTTAGAGGGACAAGCTGATCCCTTGGCAAGCCCCTTCCTTACCAAGGAGCTCAGCATCCTGTGCAGGGAGAAGGAGGCATTTTCGATCCACACGCTTACGCCCTGCCCAAACCAGAGGACTGAGGAAGTTCTGCTACACTCACTTGCGGGCTGCCTCTCTTGGAATATTTCACCAAGTTGACTGTAATCAGAACTGTCCCTTTGATCTGATGCACTTCCAGGAGCTGGTGCCCTGTGAAGTAATCGGTACGGATGTGGCATTGAGAGGGAGAGAGAAAAGAAGGAAGAGGGAGAATGTGAACCAAAACCTACACATGTTGCTCTTACCTGGGACAACAAGAGCGCGGGAGACAAGAGGCCCAGGAGGAGGCAGGGGCATGTTTTATGGGTGGACACTCATGAGGGAATAATGTGCAGCCGTACCGTGGAGCCTTGTCTGCCCGGTCCCGTCATCCTTCGGCACCATCTGCATGGCTCTCGGGTGCGTGAAGTGAGCAAGGGTGTCACTGGTCGATATCCATTCCAAGATAAGGGAGGAGAAGTTGTCAAACTTCCTCCGGTGTTGGTCAAACAAAGCCAGCTCCAAAACAGTGTTCCTCAAACTGGACACGGGGACCTGCAAGTATCCCAGAAGTCCCCACCCCCGCCCCAGGCTGGGCTTAACAATGCGAGCTGAGATGCCAACGGACACGTATCGCATCCCTGTGAACTAAAGCCAAGACACAAAATATAGACCAAGGGCTCTGCGGCACACGGAAACGGAGATTTAAAAAGGAGTGACTGTGTGTTGGAGATTACATAGAAGGCTGTCACGTTTAACAGATCGATCTGCTGGACTTAGTTGTATTTTTCAAAAAAACCCTCTCATCAGGATTGTTTAAGGGAAGGGAGAGGAGGAGCAGCAGGACCACCCCATCAACCTGCTGAAAGATTTAATTTTCCTCCCTCTTCTCTCCCCATTTCTTTGTCAGACAAGGACTCTCTGGTTTCATCCATCATTTGTACGCCACTCTGGATGTGCTTTTGGCAGAATAGCAGGATAAAGACACTTCCGATAAAGGAACAGGTGCCCTGTGAACTCACACAAATCTTCTGTGCCTGGTTTCTGGTATTTACATCAAGACAAGCCAACCCAGAGGAGTTTTACTGCTTTCTTATTGAAGGATTTATTCTTACTGCTTTCTTATTTACAGAGTTACGGCCTCGGTTTCCCGCTCAGAGTCTGGATAGCTGACCTGGAACGTTCCCACTGCAGCTCTCCCGTGGCTTTGCATCTAGTCCTAGAATGGCTAACTCTTTAAGCAGCCGCTGGTGCAAGCAGAAAACGGGCCGCCCAACCACCTCCCAGCACCACAGAAGACTCCTGCACTGGTTGGGGAAACAAGCCAGGTGGGCAGCAGTCACCTACCAGCTGCTTGTGGTGCTGAGGCAAGGGGCAGGGAGGCGCTCCGGCCGCCAGCTTATAGACAGGCGTCACAGCCATGCTGGCAGGGTGGGCACAGATGAACCTCACTTGCACCATCTCCACTGCGGGGCTGGGGTTCAGCACCCCTGGATGATTGCCCACCTGAAAGGTGAACACCTGTGGGGAACAGGCAAAGAAAGGTGGCCTTCAGGCAAGGGAAGCGTGGACACGGACAAGCAATTTTGCGGCACCGGCCTGAGATAACCCTCATGTAAGGCAGCACCACGAAGGCTGCCTGCAGCGTCGGGGGAGCGACGTTCCCATCCTTCCCTGCCTGTTCTTACCAGTCTCTTGGAGAGCTCTCCCTCCTACCTGCTCCCCCAACTCCAGGCACGTGATCCGGTAGACATACTGGCGCAGCTTCCTCTTGTTGGGCAACAGAACCTCCGCCACGTGGACTTTGTCCCTGTGCTCTGCTCTGAGCTCCAGGAAGAAGCGGGATGGCTCCAAGACCCACGGGCCAGGTCCCCCCTCGAACAGCATCTCCTTCACAGACTGCCAGGTCACCAGAGCCACCTCCACGGGATTCACGGCCTGGCCCCGAGAAAACGAAGCAGCTTTGTGCTGGCCCACAAAGAGCTAGCACAGCGAACGCCACCCCCTTCCCGCAGGCGGGGGCTTTTCCAGGGCTCCCTAAGCTCAGCTCACAGCCCTAATTACTGGCAAGGTGGTGTGACGACAGGGCGGCAGGCAAGGGGTTTTTGAAAAAGGGAACGGAAATACTAATACGGCATTTGTGGTGAATGTAATGCAACACTGTGGCATTACAATGGGCAGTGGCATCCCTGGCGCAGCCTCACCTTGAGAGGTTCGTAGGCAGCGAGAGTGGCACTGGTTTCAAAATACTCCTCAAAGATGGTGGCTTGGGCTGTCACCAAGGCATGGCCCAGAGACTTGGCCACCAGATAGACGCTGGAGCAGAAGGCTGGGCCGGCTTTCTGCTTGCCTGTGTACAGAGCGAATGCAACCGCTGTTTCTTCAGCACGGACAGAGGTCTTGCCCCAGGAGTCCGGGATGGCCAGCATGGGGAGCGCCAGGCTCTCCCATTTCGCAGGTGCCCAAGCTGCCCTGACACAACCAGTCCTCCAGCCAGGACTTGGACGGGCAGGACGTAAACTGCCAAAGCCAAAGCGGGGAAAGATACTGCTCGCTGCGGTTCCCTGTGATCATTTTTGCGGGAGATGCTGGTCATGCAGGGACTGCCGGCACGCAGCGCACGTGACCTCACGATGGGGCTGCCCCTTCATCACAACCACCGTGACCCTCACTATCGCTGGCCTGGGCAAGCCTCTCCCTGTGCTGTGCTCTGACTTGGCTGTGCTCTGTTTTTATGCCTTGGGGGACAGGGAAGGAGGAGGAAGAAAGAGCCGCCCTCTTACCTTCTTCACTCAAGGTAAAGACTCCTTGCTTGTCCATGCTGATGTCCAGAAGTAAAAGGGAGCAGTCAGTGAAAGCGACGCTCTGCCCTGTATCCTTCTCAAGGTGATACATCATGAGTGGAACCTCCAAGGTCTGTCCCACTTCAGTGTCTGCATGAAATGGCAGGAACTCCATCTTGGAGAGCCGGAGCACACGCACCTAAGTGGGCAATAGCACGGCATGGAGAAGTCCTCGCAGGTCGGCTAATATGGCCCCTGCTCCCTGTTGGAGGTACGACGCCGGATTCTGCAGCCACAGCGTCCCTGACGGGGGACTGCCCGGCCTCTACGTCGATGCCTCCAGCAAAGGACGGCCCACCACCGCCTGAGGCAGTCTGCCCACTGGACAGGGTTTCCTGTTAGGAAGTTCCTCCTCACACAGAGCCAAAAGCTGTTTTCTTCCCATTTCCACCTATATTCTCCCACCCACTGGCATCCTGCCCTCTTGCACCCCTGGGACTGCCTTCCAAGGTGGCACGGGAGGGCCGTGCAGTAAGCCCAGCCCAGGAAACAGCTCCGCTGACGCCGGCCGGGGCAGACTTACCTGTATTGCTCCGAAATGGAAAGGGTTCTGCACGTCTCTGGCCTGCACAGCACTCTGTCCCTCCGTCTGTCCTGCTGTAACCACTCCTTTCACAGTGACGGTGGCCACCGTCTGATTGGAAGAGGTCCACGTGAAATTGCCGCTACCTCCCTCAACCTGTGAAGTGTTGGGAGGACAGGTTCCCAATGAGAGAAAGCCCTCGGCAAGAGAAGCCCGTGCCCGGCATGGCCTAATGCGTTAGGCACATGAGCGGGGCGCTTCAAAGCGGCCTTCCCCCACCGGGTCGCCTCCGGACACACGGGACCTTGTCTTGCACCGTCCCCACACTGGCTGGCGATCATGAGAGCTGCACTCTGACACCTCTGGGGGTCACCGGGGAGGAGAATCGTTCTGCCCCCACCCTTCGCCTGTAACCTTCACCGCAGGTCCTGTCACCAAGACTGCCTCATGCGCGGGTGAGGCCCCTTCAGTGGCAGCCCTCTGGCTGCGGATCGAGCTCCCCCGTGAGGGAAGGGAGCCTGGCCACACCGTACAGCTCAGGCTGCAAAGCTGCACATTCCGGTATCGTTCTGCCTTGCTTCCAAGCAGCTTCCTCCAACCCGGAGCCCTCCAAACATCCCGGTCGGTAACTCCCAGCATGTGCGGTAACAGGCCATGCCAACTGGGGCTGCCGAAGCTTGAAATCCAGCAGCACCTGGAGAGCGTCAGGTGGAGGAAGACTATTTGAAAGACTGCTTTTGCTGCACTCGCTCGTCTGTGGAAACTGAACCAATTTTGTTGTTGTTTCAAATTGTACGTTATCTTGAGAGCTGTGGGTGGGCAGAAAAATTATTGCTAAAACTTGAGAACAGTTTTCTCTTCAAGGTATGCTGATGCTGAAGGTGCAGTGGAGAGTCTTGGCTTCCCTGAATGCATGCGCTGGAACGGCAGGAAGAGAAGGCCTTTTTTCGTAGTGGTGTGCTCGGGCAGTTGACTGAAGCTTGCTAGGCCCCATCGCTGCTCATTTCCGCCTGGCGCCGTCGTTATTTGCTTTTTGGCGCCAGGCAGAGACCTTTTTATTTAAGCAACATTTTAAATGCTAATACAACTGAATTTTATCTGGCCAGGGCGGCTTATTTTATAATGTGTGTTTTAAATTATGATCATTTTATATGGATATTTTAACTTATTGTTTTATCTAGTGTTGTAAGCCGCCCCGAGGCTTCGGCAAATGGGGCGGCATAAAAATGTTTTAATAAATAAATAAATAAATAAATAAATTTCCAACAAAAGGGGCTAGAGAGGGACATGGTTCAGTGGCAGAGCACCTGCTCTTCATGCAGAAGGTTCCAAGTTCAATCCCTGGCATCCCCTGGTAGGGCTGCAGACCAATCCTGCCTGAAGCCCAGCATAGCCAGTGTTACCAGTCAGCGTTGACGGTACTGGGCTAGGCAAACCACTGGTCTGATTCACTTTAGGGCAGTTGGCTATACTCCTAAGGACAGATCAAACTGGCCACAGGCCAGTGCTTATGCAGGCAGACTCTTCCGTGGCTGTGCTTCTAGCTGGTCATATCTTTTAAACCTGACTTTCTTCTTACTAAAAGCTCATAACAGCAGCGGGAACAAGAATAACAACACTGTCAGGTTTTGCTATTTGGCACTTTAAAGGTGCAACTAGGTCAAAATCTCAGTGGAAAGCAGAAGCCATTTTCCTAAGGCAAAATAACAGTTTAAGCATGCAAACAAAGGACATTCCTGGATTCGACTCTCCGAGCCCTGGTCAACTTCACCTGAACCCTGTACTGATACAAGACATCTAAAGGATGGTGTGGGAAGGCCAAGAATGAGGGCGTCAGCTTGATGGGATGGTAGATCTTCACTTCTTGCTCATGGCTGATTGGGGATGCTAAGAAATCTTCCAAGCCGCTCTGAAAGCAAGGAAAAAAGGAATAATGGCCCAGATTTTCAAATGGCAGCCTAGAAGTGCTATAGACACTACTGGAAAGAAATATCACAGCCTGTAAGGTTTGCAAAATAGTAGAAATTCCTAGGTTCCAGTGCCCAATTTTTAAGCGCCATCATTTTAATTGTACATATTTAATCCCAGGGCAGGGAAATTTCCTTGGCCAGCGATCTCATGCATGTTTAAACGGGGGCGGGGGGGGGGGGACAGTAAGCTCCCAGCATAGCTGGCTGAGGAATGCCGGGAGCTGTAGGAGTTTTTTTCAGTCTAAACACACATGGGATTAGTTTATTTAGGGAAGGGTATTCATTTTTTTACCTGGAGAAGAACAGATACCAACATGGCTTTAATCATGGTGACACCGTCCTTCCGAATCTGGACTAGGTGGTAGGATCCATTCACTGAAGATGTTAACTCCTCAAAATATTCGTCAGGAAACTGGTGAGTAATTCGGAGATTCTGGGAAACAAGGGATTGGCGACAGGGAGGGAGGATATTGTCAGAAGACGGGGACACTTGGCAGGCGCAACAAAAAGGCCACAGATGAATGGAATCATTGTGTCTTGAGCCAAACATCTCTGACTCCAGGCTGAAGGGAAAAAGAACCCTGCCAGCCTGTAAAAATACTTCAGATTCTTATGCATGTACATTTAGTCTCCGTAATGTTCACCCAAAAGCCTGGGATGGGAGTTTCTTAATTCAGCCTTTCCCAATCTGGTGCCCTTCAGATGATGTTGGACTGCAATTCCCACTGTTCCCAGCTATGCTAGCAAAGTGTGATGGGAGGTGCAGTCCAACACGCCTGGGAGGCACTAGCTTGGGGAAGCTGCCTCAGCAGCTCTGTGAAGGGCCTCAAACAGCAGGCTCTGTCAGGATCGACGCCCACTGAGCTGAAAGGGGCTCTCCCCCAGGTGAGCGTACCCAGGAGGGCATTGCACCGCCATAGCCCTATGTTCTTCCCCTGCCCTTTACTCCGAGCAGGACCTGCCTCTGCACACACAGGTCCTGTTGCAAGTTAATCCCGGTGCTCGAGCTGCATGCCTGCCTGACATCTCTTACTCACATCGGACGGGTAGACCTTGGTGCTCGATTTATCATACACTTCGATAGCAATGCTGTACACCCGCTTCACTTCTAGGGTCCACCGGTTCCCAGGATGGACACTGAAACCTGCCATTGGTTGGACAAAGGAAGCCAGACAAAAAACATTTCGGTACGACAGTCAGAAGAAAATGAATGGTGCGGCAACTGTCTTCACATTACTGCTCACCAGTAACGTGTGAGGAATCTGGTGTGGGAGAGGGAAACTGTCAGGTTCCCTTGGCTCGGTTCCTCGGACTCTGGCCCCCTTTCTCACTCCCCTGAGTCCACCTCACGCTGAAGGTGTGAGCAGGCATCCAGCGGGAAAACGTCGGCAAAGCCGGCTGAAGCACATGGTGCCCGCTGCCCACTCTGCAGGCAGGGTTCTGCTTCCACACGCACACACACAACTTGCTGGTTTTGTGCCAAGAATTGCACACTGTTCTGCTGGTATCCCCAAGTGTTTGGATATTGATACTGGCTCAGCTCGCTTCTTGGCCAGGGCTTCATATGGGAAAGATGGCCGAGGGGCACGAGAAAATTGCCACCCAATTCTTGCGTCCCTAGGATCCACTAATAAGCATGCTAGGAGTTGCCCATGAACAGCTGTATAGGGGGAGAACCGTTTACCTAAGAATCCAGGCTCCACAACGTAGATGCTGCAGTTGGGAAGCCCAGACGAAGCCCGCATGTGGATGTCTTATTTCTTCCCTAAGGAATCCAGCCATATTGTACACACAGAGGGAGAGAACACGAGGGGATTTCTCTGGATAATCAGGCTGCCTTGTCCTTGTGAAAGCAACCCAGGCATGCCGGACTCCAGGGACGGGGCAGCTGAATCATCCGGCAACCGCCCGCCGGTGCGCCAAAGGATACTTTTATGAATGAGGACCATGTTGACCTGTCCCAGCTGCACAGCAGTGACCGCAGCTGTCTTCACATCCAGGTGGGCCACGGGGAGAAGGGGAGTCCCCTCGGGGTCCTTCACTTCATTTTGCAGTTCAAGCTCGTAATGCTCCAAAGGCAGCTCGACCTCTGCAGGTGTAAGAAGAGGGCTGATGGCACTCGTTTGATCCTTTGCAGCAGGTGTTTCTATGCTAGGTATTTCCTTCCTTCCTTCCTTCCTTCCTTCCTTCCTTCCTTCCTCCCTCCCTCCCTCCCTCCCTCCCTTCCTCCCTTCCTCCCTTCCTTCAATATCTAAATGCCACCCAACCGCTACACTGACGCTCCCCTGGCAGGTTAAAAGGGAGGTTTACAAAGGATGGAAGCTTTATAGAAGCTCCACTGCCCAGCGCTTACAAGACTACAGACCAACAGCCAAGTATTTGGCTCGAGCATTAGTATCGTCTACTCACAGCTGGACCTACCCTTCGCCCTCTGCCGAGCTGCTTTGAGACAGAGGGCACCAACAATCAAAATACCCCGTGCAGTTATTCCATTTCCACCTTCAGTTTGTGGAACGAAAGGACTGATGAAGTAGTGGGAAAACATGGCAGGGTTAAGAGTGGAAGATGACATCATCTGGACCTCCCAGAACTTTCCACAAAGGGGAGAAAGCGTCTGGGAACACTCTGGTCTAAGGAAAACAATCCTAAGCACCCTTGCTAGGGGAATAAGACTCCCTAGATGTTAATCTGGGCTTGCATCTGAGTAAACCTGCACAGGACTCTGACTGACCAGTAAATTCCCATTAAGAAAGCAAGGAGGTGACTAAAGAATCTACCTGTGACTTTTCCTTGAATTATTTTGCCAACCTTGTACTTAATGTAGGCTCCAACCAGCAGGTAGACATCATAAGAAGGCATTAAAAATATGTTCTCTAAAACCAAGAGACGCACCAGGGCAGCTGCTACTTTCTGATGAATAAAACAACAGTGGACGCTCATGTGGCGAGAAGGTGACAAATAAGATACATCTGTTGCCAGAGTTTGTCTAAAATCATTCTAATTAAGACAGTTTCCAACGCTGTTCTGCGCAAACTGTACAGAATTTAACCTTGGCAGGGCCTCATGTTGCGCTGGGGCCAATATCCCTCCGAAAGCACCATGAGAACACACCTTATAAATGGGCTCCTGTATTCGGACCTTAATGACGGCTGCGCCTGTTCTGATTCCCGACACCAGAATCCTATCTCCTTGCTTCTCCTCACTTTCCATCTCAACCATGTAGTCTGGTGGAGAATATTCTGCTTCAGAATACTTTAAAAACCTAAAAAGACCACACTTGACTTTTAGGAGAAGAACAAACAGCTCACTGATGCAACTAGCAGAGGGTAGAGGTACACAAAATACAATAATACCACATCAGTTGTTGCTTTTGCTGCACATTACAAGGAAGCTCAAGGCTGACAGCAGCCACACCTACATGCTGTAATGCAGGTACGAGATAAAAAGGAGATACAAAGACATCTCTAGCTGAGAGGATGCAGTCACAGGAAGAGAATAAAGCACTGGAGGATTTATGGGATTCCCTCTAGATGGGTTTGAAGTAGAACAGTCACTGCCTAATTAGCAAGGTGCCAATGAAGTGCATTTTCCGACACTGTTAGCAGTATGTGGGACGGTGCAACGTGGGGTCCTGCAACAGCAGGGGTTGGACTCAATTGACCTTCTTGGCCTCTTCCGACTCTGCTATTCTATGGTTCTACGTCTGAGCAAAAAGACAAGTTTTCCTGCTATTAGCCTGGTGTGAAATAGGGTGCATTCACCACTACAGACACAGTTGCTTATCTGTCTTTTAATCTTTACATTCCTTACCACCCATTAGCAAACCTCACTGGGAAATGTACAGAACAAAACTTAAAACCTAAAATACAGCATAGCAAATTTTGATGGAAAACCTTAAGTCTAAAATCAAAGTAGAAACCAAGAAAATAAAGCCAGCAACAGGTTCTTTACTCAGATATAAGCCCCAGTACATTCAACAGGACTTATTGCATAGTAAATAGGTTTAGGACTGCAGCCTTAAACTGGTTTAGCAGTCATCACCTCTTCCCAGTGAGCAAGGGAACACTCCTGCTAAGTTCTGAAATCTCCAGCAGATCTACGTCAGCACATAGAAACAGAGCGAGTCAGAAGGGGCCTCCTGGGTCATCTAGTCTGACCCACGGCTCCAGCTCATGACATGCCCATGTGCCTGTTCAGCCTACTCTTGAACACCCTCCCTGATGGGGCTTCAGCCATCTCCAATGGAAGCCCATTCCATACCCTGGGGGTCCCAACTGTCAGGAAGTGCTTCCTGGTATCTAAATGGAACCTTGGTTCCCTGAGCTTTGCTCCGTTGCTCAGAGACCTGTTTTGCTCTGCAGGGGAGAACAGGTCTCTACTCAAGAACAGGTCTCTACCCAACAGCTGGACCCTCAACAGTTGGATACAACTGCCAACATTCTATGGAAGAAGTCATGGCAGCATGAAACCAACAGTGATAAGGGGATTCCCTACCTGTAGAAGTTAAGAGTTGGGTGACTGACTAATTTTTGCCAAGTCCAGCCAACAAGGACAAAGCAAGGGCGGGATGAATGGATGGATCAAAGTCTTTCGATTTTACCTTTCGCTTGACCACACCCATCCCTCTTACACCGTAAATTGTCTCTGCCATCACACTTCGCTGTGCAGGATTTAACCGTACCTGATTTTGCTTGACAATTCCAAGTTTTCCATCTCATCATCTTTGGCGATGCTCCACTCAAATTCCATCCCTTCCAAGCTGCTGAACGTGTTCCCTGCAGGCATAATTCAAAATGAGAACTGGCTTTTGTCGCCCTTTTTCTTTACAAATGCTCATGGGGACGGGAGGATGAGCCAGACCCGGGCCGTGACATCTTTGGGAGGGCTTTGATCCATTCCACCCACCACGGTCCTGATCTGGTTCTGGTCCAGTTGACACCAATGATAACTTTCTTCCCATTGTGGACAACGTATGTCGCCGCAGCAAGGAGAGATTCTGACAAATACTGGGGTGAGGGCAAAGAGGTAAAATTCACCTCTTTGACATCCAGGTTGCAATCCCTACCACCACACTGGGTAAAGCAGCCATGCAAGGCCAAACTATGGGGAAGGAATCGCATCTAATTCTGCTCTTAATTGAACTGAAAAGGGTGTGCTGGGCAATGCAGTAGCTCGCCATCCCCAGCACGGTGCCCTTCAAACGTGCTGGACTGCAATTCTAAGCACCCAGGAAGAAGGAGAACCGTCGTGCAATGTATCTGGAGGTGACCATGTTGTGGAATGGTGGGGGTGGCAGGATTCTGTGGCAATGGGAAGGCCATCCAACAAACGTCTAACAACATACCCTTGGCCTCGGGCCGTCCCAGATTCAGTACCTTCGGCATCCAGGGCTCGGACACTCAGCTCGAGTGGGGAGTCTTCAACGTAGATCTCTCGAGTACGGGAGACGATTTCAATATGGGCAATGAGGTCCACAATGATGTCACAACGGAGCAAATGCCCGGTCACTAGAAGGAAAACAAACGCCAGGTCTGCCGCCCTCCATTTTGAGAGCCCCATAATGCAACACAAAACACGGAACGAAAAAACCAGGGCTAGGGAAAACAGAAAGGGAGCTGCAGATCACAAAGCCCATGGAAAGTTTGGACAAGGTCACTGTTGCCGAGTTTGTTATTTCTGCACGGTCAATGTGAATGGGTCTCCGTAATTTCGTCTATGTTGACATTTGACAGTGAGGGAGCGCTTTGAGGAATACATGTTAATATTTCTTTTAGCACGATCCTTTGCGTGTCTACTCGGAAGTCTGCAGGGCTTATTTTCAAGGAGGCCTGAACAGAGAATGCATCTCTAATTTATTTATTTGGAAAACTTATATGCCGCCCCATTCACATAAGCCTCGGGGAGGCTTCCAATCCATAAATAAATACAATCAATAGAAATACCTAAAATACTGGAGACATCCTGGCAAAAAATTTTTAAATCAACAATTAAAATAACTTTTAAATAAAAAGGTATTGGCCTGGCGCCGAAAAGCAAATAACGACAGTGCCAGGCGGACCTCTCTGGGGAGCGCATTCCATAGGTGGGGTGCCACCACAGAGAAGGCCCTCCTCCAGGTACTCACCCTCCTAATATCCTTCAAGGAGGGCTCCCGGAGAAGAGCCTCTGCCACCGATCTCAAGGGGCGGGAGGGCATGTATGGATGCAAGCGCTCCTTAAGGTAACCAGGTCCCAAGCCGTTAAGGGCTTTGCAGGTGATAACCAGCACCTTGAATTGGGCCCAGACTTCAATGGGGAGTTAGTGAAGCTGACAGAGGACTGGAGTCATGTGAGCACAATGCCCAGTCCCCATCAGCAACCTGGCAGCTCTATTTTGCACCATCTGAAGTATCCAGACTGCCTTCAAGGGCAGCCCCACGTAGAGTGTGGGATTGCCAACCCTTCTTGGAACCATGGGCACAATGGCACAGCTGAGAAAGTTGGCATGACCATCACAGTGGGGAATGCTAGTCATGAAAGGGCTGCCCTGGAGGCCTGCGTACTCAAAGATTAGCTAAGAGGTGAGGCTGCGGGGGAAGGATGGGTGAAAGGACAAAGCTAAAGAGGGAGAGAAAGAAGGCCACTGCAACATTGCCCAAGGTTTTCCTTTAAAATATTTTCCTTTTTAAGGAGGACAGGAGATAGCTTTGTGGGTGCTCGTGGGCACCGCATTGCCACCCCTGCTGCGGATACTTCACGAGTGAGAAGTATCTGCAGAGAGATACGGAAAGTCGAAGAATTTCTAGTTGGAGTTCAACAGGGCAAGCATCCAGGGCCCCGCTCAGCCAGGTGGTGGAGCTGTTCACAGCACAGCAACGATGCCCCATTTTGAAGCAAACAAACTAATGCGCTTTATGTTTATAATTGGGGGTGAGGGACTTCGTAACATGGTCTAAACCAAATCATTAGTTTAAATGTGTTTTCATGGGAGGAGGGTTCAGTCATGGGGAGTGCGGCTGCCAAGGAACCTTTGCCTGCAGCAAGTGTCCACTTGCTCCCAATACAGAGGACCCTTTTGTAAATAATAGAATCGTTACTAAAACATTATTAGGGCGAATCTTCCATTCTCTCCCTCCCATGGAGGATTCAATCTTGCATTGCGGCCAGGAAACTTCCCACTGCTCCCAGAAGTGTGGAGAGTGGTGAGGAGACTATGCTCCCCTCCCTTTACGCACTGAAATTCAGATCAGACTTTGAAAAATGTATTTTCAGAAATGTGCTTGGAAAGAAAGCACCAAACACTTCCTCCGCTGGCTTAAAAAGAGGGCTGCAACACAACCCACGCCAATCAGTGCTCTTCATGTAGCGCACGCGCTCCCTTGGGGTGTTTGCGCAGGGCGCCACCACGGCTGTGTGGGACACATTTCCCCCACAGGACAGCACTTTCGGAGTCCTTGTATGTGTGGGAGGAGGAACCTGAAGGGTCGAGAGCCAGGTATGCGCCAACTGCAAGGTGCCAAACTGGATACGGTCCCATCAGCCAGATGCGGAGGCTTGCGAAGCAGCTGACGAGCCCACCCTTCGCTCCGGCCCATCCCAGCTGCCGGGAGCAAGAAAAAGGATGTTTACAGAGAAACTGGCGATCCATGACACAGGGAAGGTGGACCGTGCCTGGCTCAGTGATGATATAGCCTAGTCTTAGCACTCCCTGTTCTCAATGACACGAGAGCCCCAGTCAGTTATGGGTGGGAGTACTGGCTGTGTTTGCTCAGTGATGAAGGAAAAGCACTCTGCCCTGGACGAGTATTTCAAGCTCCTGGTTATGTACAGGCTTCAGTGCACCATCCGCTTTCTTCCTGTTATAAGCAAATCCTCCTCGGGCCTCCACGCCTTGATTCCACCTACCTATCTCCTCGGCTATAACAACACTGGATAGCTTTGTGGCCTGGGAAGAGCGGGTGGTCAGCAAAGCTTTCTGCGAGCAAACAGTGCCATTCTCGTACAGGGGCTCAATGCTGACCGTGTCGTGGCGTGTGGAGAACCTACAGGACAGAACACATGTGATGACAGTCCCCCGTGGGCACTTCCTCATGCGCCCGACTCTCAAGAACCCCCTTTTTACGTAGCCTAAAGATGTGGCAGCTGAGGCTACACTAAAGAGAAGGCTCCTTCCATCTGCAAGGCTAGGACCAAAGGCCTTCCCGTGGGCTCCATCAGCAGCCCCCTACCACAGAATTGTAAGAATAGTGTAAGAACTCATGCCTGCATTTCCTTCCTTTTCTCTGCCCTGCTTGTCCTAGATTGTAATCCATCATTTCCACCTTGACTGCTTTGGCAAAAAGGCATATCCATCTATTATTATTATTATTATTATTATTATTATTATTATTATTGCCACTGCCACTCTGCTCAAAGACAGCCTAAACATTTTGCTGCCCAAAGGAAACAAAGAAACAGCAACCTCCCCGCATTCCATATCCAAAACTGGCGCAGTCTAGCGGCTGACTTGTACTGCGTTGGTGCTGGCTGCCCCCACCGCAGCTGGAACGGCAGGAGAGCTCAGAGGGAGCAGCACAGGTTGTGAAGTTCACATACAGCTCCGTCCTCCAGCACCTCCTCAGCCCCCAGCACCTGCCACAGAAGGTGGCCGCCTCACTACCTAATTGTAAGCCGCCCCGAGGCTTCGGCAAGGGGTGGCATAGAAATGTTCTAATAATAATAATAATAACAACAATAACAACAACAACTCTTGCTCTGCTATTAACACCATCGCTATTACAAAGGTCTCTTCTGTGAGCTGAGGCCACTTGCTGCTCTGAGGTGCCGGAACAGGAGCTGCACGTCAAGTAGGCAAGGATGTGGCACAGTGGTTAGAACCACTCTCCCCAACTCAGCTCCCATCACTGGGCTGCAACTCCCATCACCCCCACAGCCATGCTGGCTGGCAATGAGAGTTGGAGTCTGACGCATCCAGAGGGCCCTGGGCTAGGGAGTTAGCCTAGGACTCAACCTCAGAAACCGTTTAACTGCTTGTACCTCAGTCTGCCCCTTTCAGCCTAGTCTACCCTGCAATGCTTGCTCTGAATGGGGAGACCAGGTATTCTGTCCTGAGAAAAAAGAGGGAGAGGTAAATGTGTAATGATTCCCAATAATAAGCCAACAATCTGGTTAATTGTCTCCAGCATCTGGACTTGGAGGCTCCACTGGGCTATGGAGTTTAATCCTGATACAGATAGCCATACAGCAAAAGCCAAAGCCATACATTGAAAAACACAGTCTTACAGAAAACAGAGGATTCCTCTCGAGTTCTAGGACTGCCAGTCTTCTTCAGCTGTTCCTCTTCGTCAGTTAAATTTGGTGGGGAAGCTTCACCTACTGAATTCCTGCCTCCCACTGGAAACTAGCATACTGGAGCGGGTGGAATATTGTACCAGAGCCCCAAGTTTGAATCCCCACTGAGAGCTTCACCTTAGCTTAATTTAACTTACTTGGTAGTTGCAAGGATAACTTGCAAGTTGCGAGGCGTGGCTGACAGGAAAGCATCACACACACCAATCTGATCTACTTCAAGGAAAAGCAAAACTGTGCTAACACCTATATTACAGTGAATTCAGTATTTCAATACGTGGAGGAACCGGATGTTTTAATGATGCATTTTTCAATAAGGGCTGATTATTTAGATTTTGTTTGTGCGGAGCCTTGGGGGGCCCTTTTTAAAAATAGCAGAATCGGCTAGCAAATTTTAAAATTAACTTCGATGGGGGTTTCTCTTTTTATTATTTTTTTTTTGGAAGAGGAGTCACCACCACCCAAGCCCCACCCCTCCGTGACGTCACCGAGACGCACGCACACGCTGCATTCATACCCCAATAAGCCCCGCCCCCTGCCCAATCAGGGCTCACCCGCGCCCAACGGCGGCCCCCCCCTCACCAGGAGTAGCAGCCGCCCTCAGCGCCCAGCACGAAAGGGACCTGCTTCTCCCGACTGAAGGGCAGCAACACCTTCGGCACGTTCAGCTTGTAGGCGCCGACCAGTTCCGCCAGAAACACCGAGATGAGGAGGAGACGAGCCGGTCGCGTCCGAAGGCAGCACGCCATCGTCGAAGACAGGGCGCAATAAAATGGCGGTGGCGAGCAGGCTTGCTTTCCCGCTTTGCCGCGCGCATAGCGTTGTACTGCGCGTGCGCCGTTCAGGGCGGTTCGTCTAAACGCGCTGGCCTTTCCTTCGCCCTCCGTTCTTTCTGCGCATGTACGCATTCCTCCCCCCCCCCCGCCTCGAATGCGTCTCGCTGGGCATGCGCGGCTACACTCGTCGAGCATCTGCAACTGATGCGCGCATGCTCCTTTCGCGCTGGGCTCCACGCATGCGCAAACTGTGCGGGTGAGGCATTGGTTAGAATCCTGGTGCAGGAAGGACTCTTAACCGTCATTCCCACGTTGAGCCACACGTGTAGCGTTGCGCAGGGCGAACACGCATTCCATTTGCAAAGCGGTCTTCCATCAATGTTCCTGCCTTCGATTGAGTGAGGTCTTTAATATCACTTCAGCAAGCCATCCTGGCTAGAGACCTGTGCCTTGCATTGCCAGTAATATTTTATTTTCAATTTAGGAGGATATAGTGGCAATTGTTTTTAAGTAATCCAGTGAAAGCCAGGCTATCTTTTTACCTTACCACAAGCAGCTCTCCCTTGCAGAGTTGACCCTGCTGCATAAGGCAAAATATTGTGGGTTTCTCTTCCTACATGCTAGGGCATTCTTTTACAGCAGCTTTTCAGACATTGGCATTGGATAGTACTTCCTTCTGGCTTTCATTGTGCATCTTTCTTTATCAAGATATACATGCAACATTTCTGTAAGCATCTGGAAAGCATAGGAGTAAAGTCTTCTTGCAACTTCCACAGGGAGATTGGTACAGGCACCATCCTAAAACCTCATTACAGGAGATGCACCAGACACCAGAGCACTGCTCCTCCACGCTTAACAGTACACACACGTTCAAGGCCTTGAAAGGTTGCTGTTGCCTAGGCCAGTATTTCCCAAAGGACAGCTAAACCCTCCTTACTGCACATCCACCCACTGTAAGTATATCTAATTATATTCGTTCACAAGAGTCCTATTAGAAAGGACTGGGGAAATAGAAGCAAAGCTGTTTGCTGAATGCCACCTGGCTGCTTTGAAAAGCTAAGCCAGCAACACACACCTCCAGCAGCCTGCCTGGGCTGTAATTTTTATTCTTCCCTCCCAGAGCAGTGTCCCTATCCCCTGAACATAATACAAGTCAGTACCTGCCTTATTCTCTTCTGTATGTTGTCTGAAAAAAGATTGATGATTTCGTAACTGATGAACCAACCTAGCATAGAATTTATACATGAGCTAATAAAAAGCATCTGCATTATATATTTTACAACATTATATACACATGTAAACACTTCCCTTGGTTTTCCTCCTTTAGGGCAAGTTCAGCTGCTTATGCATCCAAACACCCTTGCACAAGAGGGAGGCTTGTTGAAAAATCTATACGGAAACCTCTCCATGGTGGGAGGCCACAAACAGAAACTCAGGTGGGTGTTGCGTTACAGGTCCCACGTATATAACAATAGACAGGGTTTCAGCCCTTGTTAAAAGAAAAACAACAAGATGAGCAGTGGAGGGAATGCTTCTGTTTATTATTAAAAAAAGACAATAAAAGACAAAAGTTTGTTTGGTTTTTTTCTTTTTTTAGTATCAAAACACTTGATATGGTTTCCTCATTTCTCCACATCGGCCCCTAAAAGCCACTGTGGCCACACTTCCTCCTTCAAGGCCCAGCAAGCGTTACACAGAGGCATGCAAGGCGGGGGGAAGCACACACCTTGGCAGATCAAGTTTCAGAAGAGTAGAAAGCATCATGGTGACTGATATCCAGTTTCTGTTTAAGACAGTACAGCAGGCTCCTTGCCAGAACCAGGGAGGGAACCCCCTTTGTCCAGAAAAGCCCAGTGACAAAGACCCCCCCCCCCCCCCCGCTGTCTTCACAAGCACCCACACACAGAAGCTACAAAAGCTTTACTAAGCACAGAACAAGCCAAGACCAGCTGGGGAGGGATTTCATGGTTATAGGAGGACAGACTGGGGAGCCCCCAGTCTTCCTTAGTATCCACATGTGAAAACTTGCAGAGGGAGGAGAAGAGAGAAGAAAGCCTAGGTGCTCAAAGCCAACGGTTAAGAAAGCGTGGAGAAAATGGATCACTTTATAAACCTGATACATGTCTTCAAGTTGTTTCCCCAAAGTAGAAATAGTTATAAAAACCACAAGAGAGGAAGAGAGAGAGAGAGAGAGGACTGCACCTTCTTTTTTGGCAAAGGAACAAAAGCTTCATCCCTTGCTGGAAGCAAGTGAGAGGAAGTTGAAGCGGGTCGAGTTTTGTGCTGAGGTGAGCTCCCCAAGCAGGTTCCATGGGGATTTTTGTTCTGAAGGCCCGAGCTAGGACATTTATGACTGTCCCGCAGGCCACGGGGCTGGCTGCATGGAAGTTGCATCCTCCCCAGAAAACGGTGGCAAATGCAAGAGTGCGGACAGGATGGCAGTGTTAAACTGCAACTCTTAAAACCCCACAGGTTGTGAATTGTGGAATCGTGCAATGTTCAGAAGGACCGTTACCAGAAAGGGCGGGGGAGAGAGAGACCACACACCACCCCACAATAACTGCAAAGAAGTGAACACCTTGGATGTACCCTCCCCAAAATGGTATTGTGTTGCATGCAGGTGTTCCCTTAATGGCGCTGCTGGTGACCTGGCCCAGTCTGAGGGCCCATCATGGAGGGTGGGGGGCAAAGAGAGAAAGAGAGACAGGAGAATTGGCAGAGACTTTTGGTTAAATTGGCAACAAAAGTTGGAATGTTAACCTTTGACCTTTCTCCCCCTTTTCCAGGGATAGAGATCAATTCTTTTCTTTCTTTTTTCTTTTCTTTTCTAAGGACAGCGCTGGCGCCAGCAGAGAGTTGCTCTTCCAAGTGGCTGCAGGTGCGATGGAGCCAGGGCGAGGCAGGCTGACCAGCTGCGGGGAGAGCCTCCTACATGTCGTTCAGGTCGAGCAGAGTCTGGTCCAGCATCCGTTGCGTGCAAAGATGCTCCTCTTTGGTGCACTTGAGTTTATCTGCAAGGAAGAGAGCCGAGAGGGTTAATCCAGCCCCCCAGGCCCAAATGAGGAGGGCCCCCAGGCCTCAGCCCCATGCTCCCTCTGCCCCAGCAGTGCACTCCTGAGCGATGCAGTGCTTCTGGCAGCCACGCAGCCACGATGACGTTTCAGTTCGCTGTGTGTGTGGGTCATGCCCCTCGGGCTAAAACCTGGGTCTTTCCACCTTCTGTGCTACAACTGATGCACTTGATGCCTCTCTGTCCGGCCACACGGCGGCCAGACGCTCAGACCCTGCACCAGTCACTCTAAATTCCACCTCAGAAAAACCTTTCATCCTGCAACCTGTCCAAGTTATGCACACAGCTTCACTTCTCATTTTTGTGTGTCCCTGCCCAACTCCTGATTTAGCAAACTGCAGAGAATGGCAAGGAACAGTGTTAGGCTTAGAAGCCCTGAAATGCTAACCATCTTATACCACAGACAAGTGCCTGCCTGCTTGCCTTGGGTTAAGTCCCACGGCACAAAGGACATCCTTCTGAATAAACTCACAGGTTCCACATCAGCTGCGATTGTGCAGCCTGCCTGTGTTCAAGTTTGCAACAGGTACGACCGATCCTCTTTAGGCATGATTAAGGCTAGAAGTTTTGAGGGCTTCTTTCGGCTTGCTGTTGTTTTGAAAGCCAAGATAATGAAGAATCTAATTCTAGATCCAGTGCCCTAGTTCTAAATGCAGTTTCCCTCTTCCCTTCAGGGGGAAGCCCTTGGCATGCCACATACGAAAACTCACGCGCAGCATGTGTGTCCACATGCCAGCCTGTCGGTGCAGCCCTGCTCAAGTGTCTGTCCTGTTTCATGGGAGTCGCCGCTGCGTCAGTCTCTAAAGGGCTTCTCAGCCTTGCGATAAACAGGCAGCTCCAAGCCCCATCCCCAAATCACATGCACGGGCCCCCAAGCTCTCTAAAATGCTACATCTGTTTGAGCTGGTCTACAGATGCTTTACAGACACCCAGATGCACCCATTGAAAAGCTGGGCCTGGGTGCAAGGGAAAAACGACACACAAACGGAATGGTCCGCTCAGACCAGCCTCCCCCAACCTGGCACCCCCTGGATGGGGTGGGCTGTATTTCTCCCCATCCCTGGCCAAGGACTCGGCGCGAGAGGCACTGCAGCCCAGCATGCAAGATCTCGGTTGGGGAAGGCGGATTCAGACACTGACGGAGGGCCGACGACAGTTCTCCTGTGTGCCCAGAACACAAGTCCCGGAGCAAAGCGGGATGCTGCTCGTCACATTCCGTGTGCGTGTGTGGGGGAAAAAGAGCACGAAACAACTAGAAGTCCATCAAGCAAGCTTCCACGTCGCCAAGAATGGCTGCTCCCGCTGTTCTAAGAAGCTGGATGTGCATGGGATGGAAAGCTCAAGCGGCAGACCAATTCTCGAGCCGAGCTTGGTGAGCTCCCAGGATGGCCAGCGTGGGAACAGGCTTCCACCAAGCGCTAAAGGGGTTGTCATGAAGGAAAAACATGCTTCCTACACGGCTGACAGCATCCGATTGCTTCCAGCTCATGTGCACGGACGGCTCCAGTCGCTGTTGGCGTAGCAGCAGGGCACCCCCTCGGTCCAGATGATGCGATCCCAGCGGTTGATACCTACCCACGCTCCTCCGCAGACCAAGCTCCCCTCCTCTGCCCACCGGAGAGCAACCAGGGTTTGTTTTTTGGTTTTTTTAAAGAAAATCACAAAGAACGGGACAGGTGGGAAGGACACCTCAGGCACATACTGAGCGGGCCAGTGGTTTTATTAACACAAGGAACCCAAGTAGATACTTGTGTGTAGGTTAAAAGTAACAGGTCAGCCAATCCATGCAACAGGAGCCTACAGAAAATGAGGAGGAGTCAAAGTCCAGGTAGAGAAGACACTGCTTAAAAGAGATACCGTAAAAAGGGGGTTGGACAGAAGCGGCTACAGCGGTTTGCCGAGCGGGAACTCTAGAACCAGCACCCCATCACCACCAAACGGAAGCAGCTACGACGCTACTGCGACCCAGGGCTTCTGTCCTCGGAAGGCTACTACAGGTGGGGACCCACGTCCATTTCTCCCTCCTTCCCCCCCCACCCCTTCTTTTTTAACAAGTGCTAGTAGTCTCTGGTACAGGGAACAGGCGGTGATTAATATGGGTTGTTGTTCTTAAAAAGCTTAGAAAATAAGTACATTAAGAAGGATAAGCGTCAAGTGCGCCAATTAAATGGCAATCGACTGCCCTAAAGTCAGCCAGTCTTAAGAGAGAGAGCGTGCTCCGGATTCGGCTCGGGTCTGGCAGGCCACCCCAGCACAGGGATTAGCGTGTTTTAAACAGCATTAGCAGACCCCGTTCTCAGTCACACAGATCATGCAGCGTTAACTTCAGCTCATTAGCGAGCAGACGGTTTTTCTCAAGCTGGCTGTACAGACGCTCTGCAGCGGCAAGAGGAAGGAAGAGGAGGAGGAGGAGATTAGGGGAGGAAAAATGAGAGAGAGAGAGAGAGAGAGAGAAAGAAAAAAAGGGAAGGTTAGTCTGGTACCCAAGATGGGACTCCTCCTGCCTCTGCTACACATGACAACCCAGATGCAATCAGGCAAAAAGGTACTTTTGGAAGGAAGAGGCTGGGACAAGAGTGGGGGGGGGGGGCAGAATGGTGATGACTACCGTTAACTGGGGAGAAAGAGGATGCTTGTTTCGAAACTGCCGAGAAGCAGAAGTGGCCCCCTGCGAACAGGATTAAGGCCTGCGGATTAGTCAAGGCATGCGGCTGTGGAGGACAGAGAGGGTTCCTTACCTCTTCTCTAAAGTTACGAGATGCCCGGGAAGCAGATCCAGTGACACCACACCCTTCCGTGGAAAGAGAGGGCAAACTTCTCTTTCGTGGAAAGCGCGAAACCTCCCCCAGACTCCAGAAGCTGGCTTGTTCCGGCTTGTGAAGTGGTCCCTCATCTGGCCAAGAACTCGACAAGCGAGGCTTCCAAGAAGGCACCGACCAGGAGAGTACCAGGCCCCTCACTGCCCGATAGGCAGAACGCTGCCTTTGGCATCAGCCCCCTAGCCAAGCTGGCTGCTTCCGCAGTCGCTGTCCAAAAATCTCTTCCCAGACAGACCTGTGCTGCTGAAGTCCCTGCCATGAGTTGAGCAGCGGCCAGACCATCTGCTTCAGGCGAAAGCAGCAGAAACCCACAGAGAGGCAGGGAAGCCACCTACAGCTTTCACCTCCTGTCCGTGTTTTGGAAACAGGAAGTGCGCAGTGCCCTGGCATCCAGCGGGAAGACGCCGCCTCTCCTAGCTCCAGGTGGGGCCTTCTGCCAACACAGCAGCCCTGTTCAAGCACCTGCCCATCCAGCCTCCTGGCCACAGCTCTTGCTGGCCTTGGGGCAAGGATGCCCTTCAGCTGGTAGCAAAGCCTATGCTCAGCCACGTGGCGGGTCGTCCCCCCGCCCCACTGTCCTGACACCAGGCTGTGCCTGCTCACAGGCCGACTGTGCCACGGGTTTGGGACCGTTCCGCGTCAGTGAGGCAGGCTTGGAGATCTGCAGCATGGCTGCTCTCACAAAATGGTGACTGAGGGGCAGCTCGTTGATAAAATGACTGCTTCAGTGATCTAGCTGGTCACCGGGCATCCATTTCCCAGAAGGCAACCTGGTGAGGCTAGCATAAACGTCACATACTGAGAAACTCGGTGAAAAGATGGGGCAGCCTGTGGCAGAAAACTATCCCTTTGAATCCCAATACAGATGACACTAGAAGCGTGCCAGTCTTTTACATCAAGTATCTTAAGAAGTAATTGCAATTATTTTGGGGTGCCGAGCAGACACCCCGAGATGTCCACAGGCAGCTCGCTGGAGACTTCCGGGTAGTCCTCTCCTGTCCCAGTCTGTGGAATGTCCTCCAAAGAGATGGGGCCCTTCAGCTAAACTTAACTTTGCTCAAGATGTGTAAGCGTCGCATGGCAGCAGGATCCATTTGGGCTGGGAACGGCTGTAGGTTGGTGGCAGGTGGACCTGGGTTCAGCCTGCAGCATCTCCAGGTGGTGCTTGAAACAATCTCTTGCCGGAAAGCCTGGAAAGCTACTTCTAGCCCGCACAGGCCAGGAGGCGGCAACCCAGCTTCCTCCGGCTACTGCGGGCCAAAACACACCTAAATCCCAGGCAAGGGCTCAGCGATTACGTGGCGCCTTCCAGATGTTCTAGATTATGCCGCTCATCCTTGCTGCAGACAGAACTGCATCAGATGGACCCACAGACTGCTTTGGGTGGCAGGCGGCTTTCCATGGCGTGCATTTGCTCCAGCTGCACGACATTTCAGCCATCTGAGCTCCAACCACTTGCCTTTTGTCCAAGGGAAAAACACTGTGGGAGGAAAGCAGTGGAGAACCAGGGAACTATGCCCAAGGTACAGATGCGCCAACAGAACCAGCGCCACCGGCAAGCAGCTCCAAAAGGGAAGGCAGGAAAGGACCACGTCTTTGCAAAATGCAGTAAGCACCCCTTGCCCATCTTGGCTAACAACTTGCACAAACTCTTGGCATGGCATTTCACTGACTTCGCTAAGGAATCTGCCTATGTGTTTTGATGTGCGGGAAATGCTTTTCTCAGGGCTCTGTGACCCAGAGGCCCATGTGAACGGCCATCCTCCGATATTGCTCCCACAATGCACTGCCACAGAAACGACGACTGGGGCCTGCTATCTTGGCTGGCAAGGACGTCAAGATTTTTTCCTCCTGTTTAACTCTTTAAAACATGTTGCCTTTTAAGAAGATACCTTTTTACTGTTGTTTGTGCTGCTGCAGTTTTATTGATTTAAATTGTCATACGCTATCTAGATGGCTTGGGAGCAGATCAAGCGCCATAGAAAGTAATAAACAGTTAAGCGCCACATGAATTCTGCCTTGTTCACAGCAGCTGCCCATGGAGGGGATATTTCCATCAAGCTCTCCTGGCTGCCATCTTATGTCCACTGAAGGCTGAGGGGTTTCTTTTGTTTTTTTAGGCAAACAAAAGTAGACGACCAAGCCCAGGGCTTCTTAGGTTTCTTTTCAGGTAATATTTCTGTTTCTTCGTAAACAGGACAGAAACAACCTGAGGTCTTAAATGGCTTGATTACAGAAGTGAACAGGCGGATTTTGTGTGCTTGGATCTTCCAAGTCTGAACCTGTGTATCCAGCCATGCTAAAGCCTCTTTTTCCTGAGATACCTCATCTTTTTATCTGTTTTATCTGTTTTTATCCGTTAGCTGTATGGCTAGCAGGTACAACATGGATCCCTCCGTGCTAGAAGAAGCTGCACCTGCTGAATTTGACCAGCACACATGGGTGCATGTTTTGCTTCGTTTAAGAATCAGGAATGTGCAGATGGCCCAGGACTGTCTGCAGTTTTTTCAGTCCTGCCTGGAGATGCTGGGAATCTTCTGCACCGTTTGAGGCATTGGCTCTCCTGCTGAGCTACAGGGCCTTCCCCAATCCCCTTCCTTAGCTCATGCCTCCCAGGAAGACAAAGACGGCGGCTTAGGGGAGATCGGCCTGGATCTCTCTGCCAGCTATAGCGGCAGCCTCATCCCTCCACGCCAGAAGCATGACTCACTCTCGCTTCCAGTTGCCTGGAGGCTGTGCAAATGCACTCATTAGCCCAGGGACTCCAAAGTGCTTTTACACTGGATGTGCACACAGGGAACCAATGACCTGGGGAGGGTGGGGGTGCTTCCACACGTGGAGGAATTCTAGATGCAGCTAGCCAGCTGTCTGTTACGGAAAGGCGGCGAGAGGCCCACCTGTCCAGATCAGACCATCCCATGGCTACTGTGTGAAAGAACCGATTGCCAAATCCACTCCTTTGGTGGCCTCCTCCTTCCTGCTTCCTTCAACATCCTGTCCATCCAGTTATCAGCTGAAGGGCCATGACTCTCGCTGCCTTTTAAAGTCCACAGAGTGCTCAAGAATCTTTGAATGGGGGGTAGGAACACAGCCCTTATGGAGCAAATGCAGTCTGGGCCAGGCAAACGGCAGCTGCAAGCACCAGTGTGTTTTCGCAGATCGCTTTCTTGCTGCCCAACCCTTCCCCTTTTTTTAAAAAAAGAGTAATACAGTTTGAGAGTGTGCACAAATGTATTGTGATCCAGTGAGAAAGACCATGCGGGGAATGCATGGGGAGGGAGAGAAAAAAAGTTTGCAGTGGCACAGTGCCCGGTGAGGAGACAAGTGTTTTCTGTGGTAGCACCCTAGCTGTGGCATGATTCCCTTCTTCTGACTTTGCAACCTAATTTGAGGTCTTTTGGGTTTGTTGAAAAAAAAAATATCCCAGGTCTTCAGTGACTTAAAATGAAGCTCAGGAATTGTGTTACACTCATTTTCTGTGGCTTGAGTTTATAACTGCATTCTCCTTCCTTGGGTTTTGTATAGCTCTTGTTGTAATTTAATATCTTATTGTCCTAAGTCGACCAGAGACCTCTGCTATGGGCAGCATTTCAAATACTGTAAAGTATTAAGTCCAACAGAACCAACACACTGCTCTACGATTTCTTACAGGAGCAAACGTCCTTATTCAAAAATAACAGGGGCGGCGTGGCAGAAATGATGCAGGAACTCAAGAAAGGCCTGTTTCAAATGTCTGGCCCCAGTAAAGTCACACACCTGTTTTCAAGGATGGTCCACCTTAAAAGGCCAAGGGACACTAGTACAGATTAGCCCTCGGCACCTCACAAGCACAGCAGACACACACGGGGTGCAGGGCTGGACCTGAATGTTCAACCTGTTTTGGGCCAACGGCCAAACTGTTTTGTAGAGACTCTGGGGGCCCATGTTCCAAAGGAGGGTGGGGCCAAAGCAAAAGAGGAGGCCCCCCCAAATATGGCCATATTTTAGCTTACAGCTCTTTGAGCCAGTAACCAGTGCCTTCAGAGCAGTATTTCAAACATTGACAATTGAGGCAGGAGAGTTGTACCCAAGTCTGCGAACTCCAAATGATTGGTGGATGGGGGAAAAAGAGGTCCGGGCTACTGGGGGAACCCCATAGAGCTGGACTGCAGCCGCTGAAGGGCTGGATTACCCCACCTCCCTGGGCTTCTGCTCCCTGCCTTGCTCTGAGGTGAAGGGAAAGGGCATGGGAACCCCAGATGCGCCACAGTTGGGGTCAAGGTTTGAGATGCTTGCTTCACACAAGATTGATTTCATACCCCAACTTGACATCACTTTACAACAGAACTGCGCCTTCCTAATCAGGCCGGAGACCCATCCTGTGCAATTACTGGGCTTCCAAGACCAGCAGTCAGCCAGGTGGGCCCCTCGGAAGCTCATGTGCCAAATGCCGACTGTCCCCAGGCGAGTAAGGGACGGCTCAGGGGTACGCGGCCTCTGACCAAGGAGCCTAATCCCCACTCTGAGATGCAGCCTCTTCCAGAGAGGCAAACTGCACGTGACGGACACAGTTTCTGCCGCCATGTATTATGCTTGATTGTGCATTGTTGGAATAGCTCCCTTTTGCTTCATCGCTCTACTCCCCACCCTGCCGTCAATTCTAAAGGGGCAAAGCGAGAGATTCCAGCCACGTGGTCCGTCTTCCCACCAACTCGCATCCCACCTACCCCAGAGTTTCCCCTATGCCTGGACAAGGACACTGTGAAGTCCAGCCTTCTCGAGTGTTCGAACGATGCTCCCCCCACCCCATTTCTCCCAGTCAGCATGCGCAATGTGCAGGAATGCTGGGACGTGTAGTCAAAGAATACGGAGGGCAGCATGTTGGGTGAGGACGGGGTAAACAGACGCCCTGTGTGCGCAACAGCTACCGGGGACCGTGTTTAGACTAAGTATTGCCTGTTCTGAGACCATGTTGCCTTTGCTCCTTGGTGACACGATGCTCTTATACATGCCTGTACAGACAACGCTCAAGACACTTGGAGGCACTGCTGGATATACACACGTGTGTCACATGTACCTTTTGCCAACCACGGAGAACAACTACCCAAAGATGTTTTATGTTTGGAGTTGGGGCGAAGAACGAAAAAAAGAGGGACTCAAACCCAGTGCAGCATTTAGTGCATGGTGTCTATATTACATTCTGCCAACAGTCGCACAAATCTCTTCACGAAAACAACACGATGTGACAGTCGCCACAGCAGCCCCATCTCCAGGACACATGCCGATCCCGGCTGCACCTCCTGCCGCCCTCCCGCTGCAAGCAGGCAAAGGGCAGGAGAGGCTCTGGGATCGACTACGCGGATGGGAAAACCCAGCACCCTCCCGGAGCCACTCCAGCGGAATCTGGCACATCGGAAGTCACAAAGACTGCTTTGTTTGAGAGGGATGTGGGGGAGAGAATCCGGCAGCTTGCAAGGTCACGCACGCCCCAGCACACGGAGGATGCTCGTTCCCACAGCTGCCTTTGCCTGTGGGGCAGCGAGGCGCAGGAGCTCCGGCCAGGCCAACAGGAGAAACGGAGGGTGGGTGGAGAAGAGGGCAGCGATGAGATTTCCCCCACCAAAAGGAAAATAAAAATAAAAATCCCCCAAAAGCTGCAGGAAGATCCACTAAGTGGAGCTTTGGAATCACAAGTTTTATCTGTATGCAAGAGAAGAAGAAAACACCAATATAAGGAATCCCTACGGCTCTTCAGTGGAGAAAGCAGAGCTGGGGGAGCAATGGGCAAGGAAAGAAAATAGAAAGCAAGACTGACAGCTCTTCCAGGCATGGTGGGGTGGGACGCATTCCATGGTTAGGGGGCAAAGAGGTCATGGATGAGTGAGTCCAAAGTCAAATCCACAAACCAGAGCGAGCGCAAGAAGCAGCAGGTTATATCAAGCCAGAACTGGGTTGTTGTTTCTTTTTAGAAAGGGTTCGACTCCCCCTTACCCCACAAACGCTTCAGACCAAACAGCTCTCCCAAAATGCGCACACACCGCACACAAAACCTGACAAAACACGCGCAAATGCACACGATGGCTGTGGCCGGCTCAAGTGGGAAGGACCTTCATTTCTCTCCCACTGCATGCCATTCAGTAGAACGACAGGGGTATGTGCCCCCCAGAAGCAACACAGAAAGCCAAAGGAGGTCAAAGGCAACAAAACCCGATGCAGAGAGGAAGAAAAGGTGCAGGGAATACAGAATACACCTCAGTGGCCAGTGCGGGGAATCATAGCCCATCCTGCCCAGAGACGGGGCAGGGGAGGGTGGAAGAGCGCTATTTCAGCTCCTGAACGACGATGACTGAATTCCTGCTGCTGATTCAGGAAAGGGTATGCCCTGGTCCAAAGGCCAGGCCTTCCTTCGTCTGTTCAAGTGGGGACATGGGTGAGATGGAGCCCAGCGGGGCAGGCTGAAGCCGGGCTGTGGGCTCTCCTCTATACAGCAGCCACTGCATGGCATCTCCAAGTGCTTTTGCCCCATGCAGAGCGAGACACAGTTCATGACCCAAGTGGCCGAGACAGGAAAGGTGCCTTCTGCGGGACAGTGCTCGGCCCACAGACTTGACACACAGTGGTCTGTCTGGGGGGCGGCTCTGATCAGGCCACCAACTCTGGGGTTTGTGGCAAACTTGCCGATCGAGGGGAAAAGCAGGGACACACGCGTTAGTAAGAGGAACAGTTTCCAAGTCAGGCTCCCTTGGCAGGGAAATCTGGCGGCACATGCACAAAAAAAAAAAAAAAAAAAAATTAAACCACACAAGGCTCTCCATTATATTAAGAGCTTTCCTTTGCATTAGCAAGGAGTGCAGAAAGCCCAGGTCACGCGAGGGCCGCCCTGACAAAGCCATCAAGCCAAATCACCGCAGCATCTTAGCACGGCTGCGGCGGAGCCCCACTCCCCACCCCACTGCTTGCTGCAACACGCAAGGCACGCTCAAGCGGGGCTGACAGACAAGTGTGCGCACACAGACACACGCACGCACGCATGGCGCCACCCTGTTGGTCCAAGCAGTGGTATTTACATGGAAGTCATGTCATTGAGGGCGTGGTCCAGTTCCTCGCTAATGGCTTTGTACTTCAGTTTCTGGGCATACAGTTCATCTAAAAATAAGGTGGGAGCAACCAGGAGAACCGAGCGTCCAGCAGCAGGAGACACCAGTGATGGAAAGGGAGGAAAGAACGTGGTCAGACACACATGCTTCAGGATCAGAGGCACAACCGCAAGGAAACTCCCAACCCTGAGTGCATTTGCTGAGCGACTTCCGAGGAGGAGGAGAAGGATGCGAGCATCCTTAAAAAGAAATCCATGCGTCACCCCACCACCCCTGGGAATGGTGAAGGATTGCATCATTATGTTAGAAATAGACCAAGAGCTTCTTTTGGCAGTGGGTAGAGCTTTTGTCCCAAGAGTTCAGTGGCTGGGGAAAACCTAGTATCTTTGCGAAGCAGACTTTTCACATGGAAGGCAACAAAAACACAGCTTTCTGGCTCTCGCTCTGACCCAACCTTAAGGAATTTGTGAGATCAAGGGCATCTTGTTCACTCACTGCTTTTAAAATTACAATTTCCTTCAGCTGTTCTCTTGTTCCAGTTTCAGGTCAAACTTAAAAAGAAACTGGAGTCCTTACAGCAAGAGATGCTAAACTTGCATATACGATCACGTATGTCTAGAACCCAGATCCCCTGAGCCTCTGCCCGACACTCAAATCATGACAGTGTTTTTTAATGACCTATGAAGTCATCCAATTATGACTACAACTTTTTACTCATTTTTATCTCAACCCTTGCCTTCGGTTGGGCACACCAGCTGTACTTCAGCATTTATTCTGTTTTAAACGTCTGTGACACTCAAGGCTAATCTGTCCTCTTTGGCATGCATTTGGCCGTTGGAAAGTACAGAAATGCAAATATTAGCCAAACTGACATACAAGGAGATTCTGATTACTTTAAAAAATGCACAACGGCAAGAATCAATTCCAGTGAGACAAAGACACGCACTTGGATCCTAACGCAGGAAGACGTGCCTCGAAGGACAATTTCCCAGACCACCTCCCAGCAATCCCTGACATGCCATCCCAAAGGAGCCTCCAGGCCCATCCCCTGCACCTTCCTGAAAGTGTTTTTGGAAAAGGGATTGCAGGTAGCTGTACAAGGGAGATGGGGAAGAGGGCGGAAATAGCAATTCAGGAACTGCAAATTAACTTCTCTTTGGATCCAAGCCAGAGAAATCAAGCTTTGGAGTTAAACTTATTCTGCTCTGTGCAGTCTGGAACTTCGAACATGTTTGACATTTCAGCTTTATTTTTCTTTATTTATTAAAACATTTAGGACTCGCACACTCTCTCCCTCCATGAGTTATTTGAACAAGTCTCGAACAAGGACGTGTTGCTTCTCCAGAACACATGGAGGGCTGGCCAGCAATGACAAGACCGCACCCAGCAACTTCTTACAGGTACAGGAGTGCAGCCGGAGCGGCTGAGGGATTCCTAGACGGGGCTGGGCACACCATGAACAAACACCTATGCTTGCCTTATCAGCAGCCTCTTCCATACCCCGAGAAGTTTGTCCTGCATCGTAAAGGCAAGCCCATGCAGCTCCTGGTTATCTTAAGGCCACATTTTATGATGCTGGTCTTTTGCATTTGGGCTTCCAAGGCACAGAATGGAAGGGGGGTTCCTCCCTGCTCTTCTCCAGAGAGGAGCGCTTCCTCAAAACCTAACTTTGCCCATGCCAGTCCTGCTTACTTGATTTGCAGTATCCCCACTGTGTTTTTTAATTTTCCAAGAGAGCCATTTTAAACTTCAGTTCCATTAAAGCAAAGAAAGGCTGCAAGATCGCTCTAATAATTTTGTTTTGTGCTTTGTATAATTGACCACATGTGTCAGTCGTGCGGTAAAAAGGAGAGCAGTTCTGAGAAAATGAACCCTGGCTAAAGTTCTCTTTTGCCTTCAGTAAGTGTAAGCTACTGGGGAAGCTATTTGGCCACCTAATGAGAAGGACAGACTCATTGGAAAAGACCCTGATGCTGGGAAAGATTGGAGGCAAAAGAAGAAGGGGACGGCAGAGAATGAGGTGGCCGGATGGGGTCACTGATGCAATGAACATGATTTTGGGCGAACTCCAGGAAGCAGTGAAGGACAGGAGGGGCCCATGTTGGGGTCCACGGGGTCGCAAAGAGTCGGGCAAAACGATCCGAGCTGCTCACTCAGACACAGCACACGAGACACTGAGCCAGTCATCCGAACTATCTGTTCGACTTCTATTCAGAGAGCCAATTAAAACACATTAGTATTGATCCTGGGAATATACAAATAGTTGCGCATGCGAGGCTCAGTGTTCCAGTGCAAGAGTGGCCAACCTGAAACCCAGTGGGGACCCCCGAGCACCCTCCTGCTCACGCTTCCCAGCAAATGATACTAAGAGCCTCTTATCCCGGCAGCAAAATATAACTGCCCGGAGTTGTTGTGTTCTGGCACCGATGCAGCGCTGCCCCGCCGACTACTGGGTTGAACCTACCTTCCAAGTCATCAATGGTCTTCTCCAGTTTGGCTACCGATCTCTCGGCAAACTCGGCACGGGTCTCGGCCTGTGACAGGAGGGAGGGCTGTTGTCAGTTAAGAAAGGAGGCCAAACCCACTATGGGCAAAGACTACTCCTGGTAAAGGACTCTTGGCATGATTCTGGAGGGACTTTTAAGCCAGACTGGGTGGAATACAGCTTAGAATTTACCTGTGAACCTTTACAGCTTTTGCTACTCATCAGTTCAGAAATTCAGACATCTCAAGCCTTCTCTCTTGATTCGTGTATGCCCCGGAAGCACAGCAGAGCATATAGCTGTGTGGACAGTTATCACTTCCTTATTGTTATGTCCTAGTGTTATTTTTTGGCGCCGCTTTCAGCACATGACACTGCAGGTTCATGGTTTTGTGGGATTTTGATCAATTCACTAGTATCAGCAAGAATGTTGGTTCCTCCCACACTGTGCCAGACTGCAGCAATGCACCAAGTTGGGGCAGCGAAAGGATAACACTAGAGTGGATTGCTACATGGAAGGACAGTGCCTAGTACCAGTTCCGAAAAGCCAAGAATGTGCTTGACGGCCATCTCTTCCTCAGTTCCAGGTGACGATCCGCTGTTTCACTCTGCAGGAGGCTCCAGGCAGCAAACCTGGGATCTAGTCCAGAACCCAGGAAACCGCACCCCCTCCCTCCCCAGGCTGGTCTGCCCATCCTTTCTTTAAACCATTGCCATTGCTTTTTTCATGCTGGTCATAAAATCATAGTAGGGCCGAAGAGGCCCTGAAGGCCATCCAGTCCAACCCCCTGCTGTTGCAGGACACCATGTTACACCGCCCCACTCAGGGCTGCCCAGTTTCGCCTTGAATGCCTCCAGTGTGGGAGAGCCCCCCACCTCTCCAGGCAGCTGGTTCCACTGTCCTTTTGCTCTGACAGTGAGGATATTCTTCCTGATGTCCAGCCTGAATCTGGGTTGCCGCAGGCAGGCTTGGGAAATGCCACCTACCCGCCAGCTTGACTCTTCTGGAAACCATTTTCATCACTCACCTCCTTGAGTTTGTCGGTCAAGATCTTGATCTCCTCTTCATACTTGTCTTCTTTTTGAGAATACTGGAGGGAGAGAAGATACACTTAGGATTTGGTGGTCAGAAACCATCCGTCACCTTCCAGTCCCCACGGGGTTTGCAAATCTTAAAAGCAGACTGTGTAATTGCGGTACTGGAGTGCTTTTAAAAAAAAACTAGTCTTGTGGCTGCCTTGTCAAACCTCCAAATGGGGCCCTCCACACATTCAGGGCTGCAACTCCCATCAGCCCTAGCCAACATGACCAAGAACCAGAGATTCCGGGAAATTCCTAAAAAAACATCTGGAGAAACAGCCCAGTGTCTGGGATGATGGACATGGCAATCCAACTCATCTTGAGGACACGCTCTTGGGAAAAGCCTGGCGTGATGCCTGGAGTGTTTGCATTTGCACCAGGGGGACGGAAGGTCACATCCTTCCTTGACGGGGAAAGTGGGACCAGAAAACCTGTCAGCCCAACTTGCCTCACAGGGAGGAAAAGCAAAATCAACCCCACCCCCTCTTCACAAGAAGCCACTCTCCGCAGTCCAGGAGGCAAAGAGCCCTGCCAGTCACGGCGCCCTGGCCCTCCTTTAACCAACATTCCAGCGGCTGGCCTTTGGGCCCGTGCCAATGCCCCACCCGGGGCCACAGACCCTCCCTGGTGCAATCCGCCAGTGCAGTTCCTGCACACAGGGCACAAGCCAAATGGAGAGAGGGCCTCCCCCCGGTCGGGCAGACGGCCTTGGTCACAGCCCGTGGGCTGCAGAAAAGCCCCCTCGAAACAGCCACTCAGAAGCCTCTTCTCACTGGCTTGCCTAATCAGCAGGAGGTTCTTGTGCTGCTCTTTTGACCCTTTCCCGCCACCAGGTCCAGGATTGAGTTACTTCCAGGTTTTAACACAGAATGCATTTTTATCTATACCAAGTATGATTCCCCTTGGAGCAAAAGGTGGAACAGAAACAGCCGTTGGGTCAGCAATTTCCAATTTCATCTGAGGGAATACCAGGTGCGCAGAGGTGCGTTTGCCTGGGCACCCCGAAGAGCTGAGCAGTTCCAGGGCAGCCCAGGTCAGTGCCCCCCACCCAGCTGGCGCATTCGAACACGCCTGAGATTAGGTCCTGGTGGCCCAAGAACCCCTTGGCCACCTTCCTACCCGTGGAGCTCACGAATGCTTTCAACTTCAGCCCCAGCCAAGCTGGCCAATAGTCCAACACATCCTGGTTGGGGAAGATGGTGCTAGAAGTTTTATCATGTTTGGAGGAAGCAGAGTGGAAATCCTCGTGCGACAGCAGCAATGCTGGTTTCATCCCAAGCAACTGATTGGCGGTCAATGTGAGGCAGATTTAAGGGAAGCATGGCCCCGACACAAAGCAGAGTTTGACTTTTAGAAGTCGCTGCCACAAGGAGGTCATCATGGCTAGGGGTTGAGACAGCTCTGGAAAAATGCCAGCTGGAAGACTGGGTCAAAGTTTCCCAGCCTTGGCTCCCCCCTCAGGCACTGAGAGACCACCAGCCGGGGGTCAGAGGGGTGGTGTGAGCTGCGGTCCAGCTGGCGCCCCCAAAGTTGAATTAGGCAAAGAGGCAGGCAGGGAGGGCTGTGAATGGCCATTACACAGGGCAGCTAAACAGGGTCCGTGACATGGGCTGAGGAACCCATTTCGGCATCACGGTTGCTGGAAATGGCCAACGTGGCAAACCAGGCCGTGTTGAGGCGGCCAGATCGTCCCTGTGAAGGACAACCCTCCAGTCTGACCCGACAAAGCGTCTGGCAGTCTGCGCTACCACTGGAGGTCCCCTCTGGCAGCACCGTCTGCGGTCCTTTGAGAGGCTGACAGGCAGGACTGGAAGGAGGCCTTTGGCCGCCTCTGTGCACAGACCCAGCAAGCACAGGCCGCCGCCTCCGCAGCAGCTCAGAGGGCCCCACTGGACAGCACCGCAGCACATGCCGTGCCCCTCGGGTTTACCCTCCAGCTGCGCTGGTGGGGCAAGAGAGCGCCACCCTACCTTCTCAGCCTGAGCTTCAAGGGACTTGAGATTGTTGGTGACATTCTTCAGCTCCTCTTCCAGCTCTGAACACTTACTGCCAAGTGTTTTGCGGAGGAGGAAAAAGCAGTCAAGGGACAGTGGATGGGAAAGGGTCAGGGAGGGAGAAAGAGGACAGGAGAGAAAAAGAGAGAAGAGTGAATCCTTGGATCAGGGGAAGACTGCGGGGAGCTCCAGGAGGTGGGCCTGCAAGGCCAGCAACTGCTTCCCCTCCTGCAGGACAGGAGGTGTCTCCTGGACCCGGGCAAAAAGTGCCGACCGAGCCCCAGCACCTTGCAGGCGCTGTAGTCCGACAGCGTGGAGGTTCAGTCTCACGAGGGCTTCTGAGTACTGGGAAACTTATACGGTGCAGAAACCTGGGGGGCATCAGCACCAGAGTGCCTTCTAGCTATTTTGCGTGGCAACTCCCTCAAATCCCCGGCCACCGGCTGTGCTGGCTGGGACTGATGGAAGTTCCCACCAGTGGAGAGGGACAAGCTTGCTGGCCCTGGAGAGCTCAGCAGATGGCTTTTGAGACATTTTAATTTGGGGTGCTGGTGATGGGTTTTAGCTGACGGGACGTCAGGTCACTTGGTCCCCTATGTCAGAGGTGGGAAGATTCTCCCCCACCCCCAGCTTTGCCTAGGGCCAGACAGCTTGTGCTTGCCAGTGAGTGGCCTGGATGTATTTCTTGCAGAGGGGTCTTGATGCTAAACCAAACTCCCCGTCGGCTCTAGACAAATCAGCCAAAGGGGATGCTGAATCTGGAGGGCGGCATGTCGCCCCCCAGCCCTGCATTAAAGCCGTTCTTTTATCCACCCCTCCTTTAAACAGGTTGCCAAAAGGCGTTTTCTTGGTGGTTGTTTAATTTGGATGTTTCACGTGTGAAACATTACTCTGCCAAGGGCAGAAGCATGTGTGTGTGAAAGGAAAGATTATCGGAAGAATTTTCACCTAAGACTACATCACAGGCGTGTGATATTTCAACCATACACCCATCTAATTTCAAAGTTCACTTGCGACACACTCCTACAGTTCATTTCTACTGAGCTTATTTCCTAGTCAAGTGTGCAGTGTGTCTGTAAACGGTCGCTTGCTTGCTGGTCTGCTTGGCTTTTCCAACTTTATATGATTCCTAGCAACTCCCCAGTTTTAAGTCAAGTCATTATGCGCTGTTGATAACGCGGCCCACAAACAGGAAGTTGTGTGCCAGGGGCTCTAACCACATACGCAACTGATGTCGGAACCGCTGCGGCATGCTCACCAAAGCACCGAGGCCAAGTCCGCCATGCTTGGCGGGGTCGGCAGGAGAAGTGCCGGGGCTCGAGGCTCGTAACACACAGGCCTAGGTGAGGCCTGCCTTCCAAGGGGTTCTGGCAGGTTCCAAGGAGAACTGCCCTGCAGGTTTCAGACGCAGCCCGGACTACAAAGCCTGCAAATGCTGCAGCAACGGCCCAAGAGATGGGAGCTGCCTCGGCACCACCTGGCCCAGCCTTGCACAGAACTGCTTCGGCCTCGTGGCCATTTTGGACACGGCTGCTTTGCCGAGCGGAAGCCAGCTGCTCAGCGGAAAGCACGTCAAACTCGGTTGAAAGGCGAAGGAGAACAGAACAAGCAGAGCGTTTGAGGCAGCAGGAGAAGGGCGGGAGAGGGGGATCCAGAATAGGGTTGCTCAAGGGAGTGGGGGGGAGGGGTTAGTACCTTTTCTTCAGCCTGAGCAAAGAACTTCAGGTTTTGGTCCATCAACCGGATCTGCTCGTCCAGCTCTCGGCAACGGCTGTTAGGATGACCGCGTCGACAGGCACGGGTTGGGCGGGGGGGCCAAAAGGAGCAGCAGCAACAAAGACACACAAAGCAAAGCCATAAAAAGGGGAGGGGTGGGGGAAGAGAAGGGAGAAACAAAAAAACAAGAGTGTCACAACACACATGCTTGGTGGGGGGGGGGCGGAAAGCGGTTTATGGTGCGAGGCAAGGAGCGCGGCTCGGACGGGCAGCATGCCACGTGGGAGGTTTGGGACCCCGTTACACAAGGCCCGGAAGAGTGGTGGTGAAGAGCAGGAGTGCGGCCCAGCCCCCCGCAAATGCCTCTCTCAACTGGCTCTCCCCAACCTGGTGCCCGCCGGATGCGAAGGACCGCAAACCAAAGCGGAGCCAGCCTGGCTCGTCCAGAGGGCCCCAGCTTGCTGACGGCGGCTGGGTGAGGAAATGCAAGGAGTGGTGTTGTGTGTGTGTGTGTGTGTGTGTGTGTGTGGGTGTGGGTGTGGTGGGGGGGGACCTTCCACAAGGGAGAGGAATGTGGGCCACCACCTTAGAGCCAATCCTACCAGGGGCCACGCCGGCTCTCTTCCTTTCCCACCTCGCTACGCCAAGACTGTGTGCGAACACAGAGGTGCATGCAAGAACACTCAGCAAGGCACAGTGTGAGCGAATGCATGTTTTCCTGTTTAGCTGTTGTCACTCTTCATGGAAACCTAGTTCCTACCCTGTAAGCCGCAGAGGTGCTCAGGCAAAAGGGAGCTCGTTGAAGCTCTGGGTGCCTGACTCATATCCTCCCCGCCGAAAATAGTCAAGCAAGTGAGATGATGCAAAGGTGATAAAGTAGGGCTCTTTTTGTGGCGAGGAATCTGCTTTGCCTGGGGTGAGTTTTGGCATTCCTGACTGACAGAAAGCGCTTTTAATTGGGAGCCTCTGCAGCAAGTGGTTCTACATTTGTCATGCGGAGCTTGTCAAACCCCGCAGGGGAGGCTATTTGCTGTCTCTGGGCTTGCCCAGAAACTGAGCTTGACTAATTCCTCCATTTCTCAAGCCAGACAGCTGAGCTGCAGAGGGGCAGTAACCATGCACCACCTCCCACAACACCCGGAGAACCAGAGGGGGTCAGCTCCCGGGATGCCTAGCACACACCAGCCCCAACTAAGAAAGAGGCACCAGAGCAGCTTGCTCCGGGAGGAGGTAAGCACCCCAGCAAGTGGTGGGTGATGGGGAGGCAGAGGAAACTGGGAGGGCTGGTGTACAATCAAGGGCAGAGAACACCAAGCACCTCCACAGCCCATGCTCTCCAGACGCGCTCGACTGCCCCGCCCAATTCCCAACCATTATCCTGGCTGGGAATAATGGGAACTGTGCTCAAAGAAAGCTAGAAGGCAGCAGGCTGGGAAAGGCTGGCTTGGGAGAATCGCCTCGTGGCCCAGTCTAAGCAGTCAACTGCTTTATTGCGCAGTTCCAGGGTGCCAAGAACTAAGAGACTGCTAGATCTGTGTGCATGTGGAGCTGTCCAGAGGAAGAGGGAACAGCTGAAACCGCTCTGTAGTTGTGGCATCGAATATGCCTTCAGCTTCACAACATCCTCTGCCCCCATATTTCATTATTCTTAGAGAAGGCATTCGATAGTAATTCTATCTACTCCCTCGCTAGGCAAGACGCATGTTCGGAAGTTTACAGACTCCCAGTTATCCTGCCACCTTTCTCCTTGAAGTCATCCTTGGGATGCCAGCGTCCCACTTCCGTTCTCTAAAAGGGAAGGACCTGGCACTTGGCATTTGTGACTACTGCCCCCAAACGCACGGCAGTTGTTAAGCGATCATTGCTCCACGTCAGCTGCGTGAGGGATCCAAAATAGCACCAGCCACAAACCAGGGAGGAATGAGTAGGCATGGTGGCAGAACCCCCAACCGCTGCAGAACTACAGAAAGAAGGCATCCTAAAGGGGCATACTAAGAGATCCAGTGGGCATGGGATAAGCATCGACTTGTAGGGCGGGGTGGGGGATGTGGGGCAGGGGGATTGGCAATGGAGTACCTCGGGAGGAGGACCTGGCTGGCTGGCACCCTGACCAGGCCCACTCCAGAATGCGCAAAAGTGCCACAAGCCCCACCTGCTCTTCCTTATCTGGGGATTTCAGTGGGTTCGTGGGTAGGGCAGCCCCCACCCCAAGGCCTTCCAGGGACTGGTGAGGGGGCATCAGCCGAAGAAAGCTGCAGGAGCACTCGTGCCGCTCCGGAAGTGGGTGTGCTCCATGCCTCGGCTCCTGCTCCCTCCCAGCATGAAAGAGGCCAATGGAGGGCACGGAGCCTCGAGGGCCAGCCGTGATTCCCTCCAGCCCCGAGGCTGTCCGCCCCCCCCCCCCGCCGCCCCCAACGCTTCAGGCCTCGTCTAACAGGGTGCAAGCCAAGCTGTTTGTGTTAGCTTCCATGCGGCGAGGATGCATCGTGCAAAGGAAAAGCAGCTCAAAGGTAAGAGGCACTCACGACTCTGCCAGCTCAGCCCTCTCCTCTGTACGCTCCAGATCCCCTTCAATGATGACCAGCTTCCGGGCAACCTGGGGACAAACAAGAGGAGTGTCGAGACAATCCGCACGGCTGCAAGAACGTGGGGGGTGGGGAGCACGCCTGCACTCTCAACACAGCACCAGGCACATGCAAGCAGCTGCCACCATCTGTTCAGGTGGCAGTAAGGGCTTGCAAGGCCAGCCTGAGGCCCAGGGCCAGTTCTGCCTCCGGGGGCGAGCAGAAGGTTCACTCCCAGCAAGCTGAGTCTTCAGCTCCCAGTGTTCCTGAACTGCTGGCAGGGGCTGCCGGGCACTGAAATTCAGAACAACTAGAGAGTGGCCTCGTGCCTAGCGTCCTCCTTCGTTCAATCCACTCAAAAAGATGGCAGGGAGCCTGGACTGAAGGTTGCAGGAATGACCACGACGCCATTTTCTCTCTTGTTGCCTACGGAACACCGAGAAGCAGCAGCCAGGCTAACTACCACCCCAGAGCGCCTCACCTCCTCATACTTCCTGTCGGCCTCTTCAGCAATGTGTTTGGCCTCCTTGAGCTGGATCTCTTGCAGCTCCATCTTCTCTTCATCCTTCAGAGCTCGGTTCTCAATTACTTTCATGCCCCTGTGCAGAGAAAGAGCGAGGGGGGGATGAACACACACGATCGCCCAAGGGCGCTGAGCAACAAGGAGAGCCCAAGGAGGCAGGGAAAGGGACTGATTGTATACCACTAACTAAAGCCATGCTACACAGAGTCAGCTTCCTCAGCCTGACAACCTGAGCTTTGGTCCTGCCGGCTGGGCTGATGGGAGGCTGGGCCAAGTTCTGCCAGGGCACCAGAAGGCTGGATGAGGAAAGAACCGCTGGGCAGCGAGGTACGGCGTCAATGTTTTCGCAGGGTCCATGGGCAGCGGATGAGCTGGTCGTTCCATGGTTAGCATACGGGGATTCGGCTGGGAGAATGGAGCCCACTTTCCCAATGAGCCGTGAAATCCATGGGGCAGCCAGAGCCTGGCCTAACTGATGAAGGCAGGGGAGCAGTGCCAGTCCTCTTTCAGCCAAAGGGCTGAACTGCATTACAGAAAAACTTTCAGGAGGTGCACTCAAGGCGTGAGCTGGGCAGAGGGTAGAGTGGGCAGGGCTCAAAATGCAAGACATTGTGACGCACTGTCGCCCGAAGTTCCTCCTGCCAGAAGGGGAGGAATTTCGGCCTTTTGAAATCCAATATCCACGAGTGATGGAGGTGAAAGGGGGCAGGCCTTTTCAGTAACTCTGCAGCAACGGACAGGGACCCACGGAGGGTCAGACTGGGCTGCCAGGCCTGAGCCACTACATGCCAGGGAAGAGATGATTTCCCCCAGTGATCAAGAGCCAGGACAAACATACATCCAGGGTGGCTGGAAGGAGCAACACTGACTAACACCTGTGGCAAAAGGGGCGCTGGAGCCGTGCTCCCTGCTCCCACACGCCACAGGGCCACACAGGGCCACACCAGGCTTGCTACTTGGTCTGAGTTCGGCAGACGTCTCTTGTGAACGCACACACCTCTCACTCTCGTCCGCGGCTTTCTCAGCTTCCTCCAGCTTCTGCAAGGCGGTAGCAAGGCGCTCCTGGGCCCGGTCCAACTCCTCCTCTACCAGCTGGATGCGGCGGTTAAGGGACGCCACTTCTGCCTCAGCCTAAGCAAAAAGAAAAAGAGGGATGAGTCGTCCAATAGCTTTCCGTTTAAATGAGGAGGAGAAACAAGAAAGTGCCTCTGGCCCTTACAGCCCTGTGCTAGAAAGGGGGGCTTGCAGGGTTTCCAAAGATGCACTTATTTTGGGCTGCCTGCTAGATGTTGTTTGTCACCCACTCTGATAGGCTGCAGCCAATACAGGCAGTATCAGGGAGTGCAAAAGCTGTAGACCAAATAGAGTTGCCTGCGTCTGCGTTGGGAATGATGCTTGGTGAGCACTGTGAAAGCAGAATCAGGTAACCTTGTAAGAGCCACAGGATCACACAAAGAGGTGCCCAACACATTTGCATGCTTGTTTTGGAAGACAAGATTACACCGTTCAATTGTCCTTGGGGCAAGCACAGAGCTTCCTTCTCTTCACTACACAGCCCCGATATCTTCAGACAGACAAAATAACCCAGTGGCAACAGCAAGGAAGATCACCGCTATGACCCCTTCATCAAAACGGGTCAAACCACAGCAAAAGCTCCAACGGGGCAAAGCTCAGGGAACCCAGGTTCAGTTTGGATGCCAGGAAGCACTTCCTGACAGTCAGGACCCCGAGGGTGTGGAATGGGCTTCCACGGGAGGTGGGTGAGGCCCCATCGGTGCGGGTGTTCAAGGACAGACTGGACATGCACATGGTGGGCATGTTGTGAGCGGAGCCGGCTGGAGCCGGGGGTTAGACTAGGTGGCCCGGGAGGCCCCTTCTGACTCGCTCTGTTTCTAAAAGAAATTCTGCTCGCAGGAGTAAGGAAGCCCCTAAGAAGAGGCAAGTTTGGTATTATTACTAGAGGGCACAAGCAAGACTGTTTGGGATACTTGACTCCCACGAGCCCCTGTCAGCATTCTTGACCACTGGCTGCGCTGGTTGTTGAAATCCCTAACATCTCAAGGTTGACTTTCTGCCCAGCCCCAAACTATTACACTACGGCTGAGGACTGCCTTAGCCCTTGGTGTGTTGGGCTACAACTCCCATCATTCCCATCCAGCGACCTCTGACTTGGGCTTTTAAGAAGCTGGCTCCTATAGAGATCAAGCTAACCTAGCATTGTCTACCGACTTGGAGAAGCATGTGATCCTTCAGCTGGCTCAGCAAGACCTTTCGCATCTTTTCCATCCTGGGCAAAGTCAGGGATACAAGCAGCAGTGCCCACACCACTCTGGTTACAAGGCAGTCTTCAGGGGCCAAAAATACAGTTCCCCTGTAAGCCCAATTCCTAGCACTTCTTTCTTAAGAAACACATCACTGTTTCTTTTCCTTTTACTGTCCTACCGCTCATAGTCACTTGACAGAAACAGTTTCGAACGTGATCTCCAAATGGAAAACCTCCCACAACAGGCCACAAATCAACAGAAACAAGACAGACCCAGGGTGGCCATCTGGAAAGACAGAATGGTCCCGAGTCCTAGTCCAACACTCTAACCACTAGGCCACAGTGACTTACATAGGGCCGACAGCCTCGGGGGGGGGGTCTGCCTCTGAACACCAGCTGCTATTACATTGATATCCAACCTTTATTCCCTTTACGTGAAACCCAAAGCAGCTCACCTTGGTGATTCACCTCCTCTGCATTTTATCCTCACAATAACCTCATGGGATACAGCTGGGGGTCCACCAAATGGAGTCAAGCCCAAGATAGCGGGCAAGAAGGGTTCGTGGGGAGGAAATACACCCGGCAGAACAGGCAGGGTGCTTCTGGACATGTGACCCAAACCAAAAACTTGGTTTGGGTATCAGAACTCAGCTAGCAGTCCTTTAACATGGAAAAGCACACCTGGGCCACCCCCTCCAGGCTTCCAAACTTTCTTCGTTTCAACAGCGCGATTTGCAGGCAAATGTTCAGCCCTTGCAGATGTTCCACAAATCCCTGAGAGATTTAAAGGCAGGCAGACAGACTTCCCGCCCTTCTCTGGGTCACTGAGCACCCTCTAAAGACCTCCGTGAGAATGCAACCTTGCTGGCAGGCTTGCTGCTAGGTTAGGGCTTCTCATGGGAGCTCCAGGCAAGGAGGACATGCTGCCTGCCAGTCCTTCTTGACTTGCCAATGAAGGCTGGAGAAGGGACAGAAATGAGAAGAGACACCGTGTCGCTGTGCACTCCGCGAGAGGTTCCATGCGCCTTGCCACCGCTTGAGGCGACTCTGCTCATTTGCTCCATTCCTAGCCACTAAGCAGCTTGCTCTCTTGGAAACCTGAGCACAGCGAGTCTGAAATCCCAATTCGGACAGAAGATGATCAGCCTGCTCATCACAAGAAACGGATCCCGGACTCCCACACAGCGGGACTCGGTGTGTCGCCTTGCCAGCTGGAGCCTTCAGAAGGATCTGCCACTGCAGCCTTTGCTAAGGCTGTTCACACAAGCATAAGCTTAAATCAAAGAAGCCACAAGGCTGGCTGCGTATTTATACCAAGCCAAGCTACCCTGCGAATGAGCCACATGGTGTGGACTGTTCAGAGAACCACCGATGGTGCTTCTGTTCTCCCACTAAGGCCTCGCACAGGTATCCCAGCGTCCTACATGGTGGAACCCATCTTGTCTCCTGCTTTCTGTCACTCTTTCCTGGGGCAGGGAGCCCTAAAAAATGCACAGTGGGGAATCTATTTTCTTTTCAGTCCTACTAAATTGTACAATTGTTTCCCTAACTTTTTGGTCGCTGCTCTTTCAAAAGTCAGCTCTTGGGGCTGCGGGCTAAGTGCAGCCTTCATTGGTCCATTTCCTTGGTCAGTTTCAGCTGTCAAAGGGAGTAGAGAAGTGGAACAATCTCACACACACAGAAACTGAGACAAGACTGCACATAGGCTGCCTGGCCCACAGGCGCCCATTGAAAAACACCCGTGAAAGGAGCAAAATGACAAAAACTGCACCGCAAAGCAGGGTCATAAATTTCACTTGGCAATGAAATCCTCTTGATTTTAAGAGCTGAAGTAGCACTTCCTAGAGCCGTCCACTTTTCAACGGCTCCAAGCCGCCAGCCAGGCCAAAAAGCAACAATATCAATTCCCACCCCCTTTCAGCGACTCCTTTTCAGAGCACTTTGTTGTGGGACATGCTGGCAGTTGTAGGATTTTTTTCCCCTCTGTCCAACAGGCATAGGATTATATCCTTACTTTCTCCTCTGGCAGTGAGAACGCAAGTTCTCCAGCTGATGTTACTTGCCAGACCTTCCCAATCCAGCCAGCGGCGGCCCTGAGGGAGGGGGGAGGCTGCAGGCAAATCCAGCGCAGCCGCCGGACTGCCGCATCAGGACTGCCCCAGCATGCAGGGACTGCCAGTGTTTGCGTACCTCACTCAAGAAGTTACAAAGCGAGCGTCTGACCACTCATTCCAGAACAGCCCAAGAATCCTCGGTATCTTGCAGCAGGCTCACACATGCCTGCCTGGAGAGCAATGCGGGGCGGGGGGAGATGTTTGTTACATGTGCATTTTTCGCAGACACTTCCCAGGGACACAGTGTCCAGCTGCAGCGAGGCACAGACCGACATGCCGGCTCTCAAGGCAAAGCTGCCAGCGGTCCCCTTCCGGCAGGGGCGAAGGGCTTCAGGACACGGGGGCAAAATCCAGCCTCCGCATGACCACTGAGTATCAGGTTTCCCACTTACTGTGCAGCCCCCCCTCCCCGCCATTCCCACAGCCGGAGATGCCTCTCCTAAGATCAATTTATTGGCGCTAAGGCAGGGGCTGCTTCTTGACCCTCAGCCCCTGCTGCCGCTGGAACATACCTTGCCAGCTTCTCCGAAACAGAATTTGGCCTCGGGGTTGCAGCAAGAGGTTCTGCATCCCAGCTCTGTGCAAACAGGCACAGAACTGGCTGCATCACCGCATCTCTATGGTATCTTTTCGCCTGGCAGCAGCAACCACATGCGACACAACAGTGGAAGCCTCTGTTAGGGCTGCCCAGTGCCACGTGCACAGAAAGGACCAGGCACACCCGCTGCATCCTGTCTGCCTCCTTCCCTCCCGGAGCCCTCCTCCTCCAGCCGGTCCCAGTGCTGACCAGGCCCCTCTGTGCCTCCAGGAACCCCGGGGCAGGCAAGCAAACTGCAAGATTAGCATCTCATGCTGAGAGAAGCATCTCAGGCGGTCATGGGAACAGGGCCAAGGCTGTGCTGAAGCCAAGCGAGAGGCGGGGAGAGACCCGGGCAATCAAGGAAGCACGGAGCCAATCCTGGGAAAGTTTAATCCCTTTCCCAAATAAGCCTAAGGCTGGCACAAGGGAAGCAGGCTAACGCCCCCGGCCTTCTGTTTGCAAAGCCGAGGAGTGGAGCCCTTTACCTTGGCTCTCGGACTGCCTTCCTCCTACCTGCGCTGCTCCACCCAGGGCTGCCCAAGCAGTCAGAGGAGCGGTGCTGGGCAGGCGCGCATGGCTCGCTGGGGCGGCAGGGCCGCTGGTGACAGATCTCCCAGCTGTTTCGCCTGCCCTTCCTCACAGTGCAGAAGGCAGGCCCATGTCACTTCGGCTCATGGGGAAAAACAGGCTCAAATCTACAGTCAAGGTATGGCGCTTCCACTAAGTCACACGCTTGCAGTATCACGCCATGCCTGCGCAGAGGCCGGCCATGGAGACGCGTCAGAGGCTGCAGGAAGAACGTCGTACTGACCTGAGCTGCTATGAGCAAAGGTTAGATATACGAAGTTTTATTTTCTATTTAAGTTTCCGAAAATGCCTGGAGGCGTACCACGTACTACTTCAAAAGTGAAAGTACTTGTGAAATTAAATACGCCCCTACAGCCATTAGCAGCCGTATTCAATCTACTCTAGTCTGTAACCTGTCCGAGAATAAGGGAACAGTTTCCGTCTATCGCTTCGGTAGGTAACAAACCACACCAGTGACGGGATGGACACCTGGGGCAGGCGTTCCCCTGAGCAAAGGCTCTCTCCATTCTCTGTTGCACCCAACTTAGACACAGGTTCAGTTCTTCGGAATGGGAAGGAAGCAAGATGCATGCTCTCCAAGCAGCTC